CTGTGCGCATAGCCCGCATAGCGGAACACCGCAGGATATACGCCAGCAATGGTGGAACAGTTTGCAGCAAATTTGTGTGCGTTTCAGCAGTAAGCTAGATCATATTCTGCTTATTGATGCCAATGCTAGAGTGCATACGTCCATCGATGGAATCATAGGTGAACTGACTGAATGCTTCCCGACTCCTAATGAGGAGCGTTTCATCGACCTGATTACGGCCAGTGGCCTGTTCCTGCCTTGTACTCTCGCTGAATTCCAGTGGGGTGATATTGCAACCTGGATACACCCTGGCGGAGGAACTGCAAGCCGTCTCGATTATATCGCAATCCCTGTACACTGGAGGAGGTCAGTCGTCTCTACGTGGGTGGACTGGGATATTACTTCAGGTGTAGCTGCAATCGATCACGCCTGCTCTTCAGCATTTCTTCGATGGACGCAGATTATCACGAGCCGTCGCAGGCAGACAAGACTTTGATAAAGATGCTATCACTCGCCCTGAGGCTAAAGCTACATTGCGCCAGATCATCGATGGCATACCAGAGGTCCCTTGGGAAGTGAACGCATCAACACATGCGGCTAAGGTCAGCAAATACCTGCGAAATGCACTTTGCCAGGCATTTCCGAGGCAACGCAAGGTCAGGCAACATGAGATAGCCAGTACTGCTGCACGGGACCTCTGCGCTCTCACGACCAGCCTCAAAAGACAGCTTAAGCCGTACAAGATCATGACACGGCTTGCCAGATTACATGATTGCTTCCATGCATGGAGGAACAAGCAGACATCCACCAAAATGTCGAGAGAGTGGACCCGGCAATTTTTTGCCAAACAGGCTCTGATTAGGCACAACCTCAACCAGGCTGCTTGGCAGCTTCGCAAGCAACTCCGAGCTGACCGGAAAAGCTATTTGGAGCGCATATGTAGCCAGGTGTGCGAGGCTAAGCCTGGAGAGGTTTTCCGTTTGCTGAGGCCATTGATAGGAACAAGCCGCAGACATGGAATTGGCAATCCTTTGCCACAAATCAATCGTGCGGACGGAGCTGTCTCAGCCAGCTTTGAGGAGTATCAACAGAGATGGACCGAACACTTTGCTCAACTTGAAGGAGGACATATCACCGACCCTAGCTTCTTCGTCCGAAAGGAGCTCGACAGACAAAGAGACCAGCCGGTCGTGCAGTGGGAAACGATGGCCGACATACCGTCACTGTCGAACCTGGAAGCTGCTCTACGCAAGGTTAACTTGCATAAGGCAGTAGGACCAGATCAGGTGCCAGGCGACTTGTTGCACATGTTTCCAAGAGAGTTCGCTCGAATCCTCTTTCCACTGATGGCCAAATTTGCATTTCGACTGCACGAGCCAATCCAATGGAAAGGGGGTCAGCTGATCAAGTTATATAAGGGCAAGGGTCCAATCCGAGAATGCTCCAGTTTTCGGGGAATTCTGTTGATGAGCACCATTGGCAAAGCGATCAGAGCAGGCATGAGGCATAAAGTCAACCGAGCTTTTGTAGCAAATAGCACAGATACACACTTTGGAGGCAAGCCTGCGCAAAGTGTAATTTTTGGGGCGCAGATGGTACGCCACTTTATTTCCATGCACAAAACTGCAGGCACCTGCTGCGCCATTTTGTTTTGTGACATTGCCTCTGCCTTCTACCGAGTGCTTCGCCAACTTGCTACCGGCGCAACTGTGAGTGATGAAGAAATTGCCACAATAGTTGCACGTCTTGGCCTGGCGCCAGAAGTCACGCACAAGCTGCATCAGGCCTTGAACGGCCAATCTGCACATGAGCTGCTTTTAGGCACTCAGCCGGAGCGGAGGCTCCTGCAAGAAAGTCTGAATGGAACCTGGTTTTGGACAGAAAAAGGGCCACTGGTCCATACTCTTGTCGGAACAAGGCCAGGTGACTCGTGGGCAGATATAACCTTCAACATTCTCTTTGCTGAGGTCATTGGAGAGGTTCAGAAAGAACTCCTCCACATGGGGCTGGCGCTTACTTTGCCGGCTAATGCTACGAGGTGTTTTGAGGCACTGGACCCCAATATCCATGACACATCAGACGTTGCTTGTCATGCCACTTGGGCTGATGACTTAGCTTTGCTTTTGCCTCTTAGTTCGCCGGAACAAGCCGCTGGTCAGACAGGGAGGGCCGCGCAGGCCTTACTTTTGCAGCTTGCTAGGGTGGGGTTGAAGGCCTCCTTTGGCACCGCTAAAACAGCTGTTCTGCTCTTCATACGAGGAAAAGATGCTGTTTCGATTAGGAGGAAAGTATTTTCGACCAAGAACCCTCAAATTCCAGTGATCTTAGAGGAGGAGACTGTGATGATACCAATTGTCACACAATACAAACATCTTGGCGGAATAGTAGCGGCCAAAGCCAATATGAGGCTTGAGATATCAGCCAGAATTGGTAAAGCCATGGCTGCCTTTGTCCGAATTTCTAGAAAGGTACTCCGAGCCAGGCAATATCCTTTGAATCTCAGACTGCAGGTGTTCGAGGCTACTGTAATGTCCATCTTCCAATGGGGCTGTGGGGCTTGGCCCACTCGGCCCACTCTTCAGGAAGGGGAATGGAAAACGTGGCAGACAGCCTGTTTCAAGATGTTTCGTAAGCTCAGTCCGCTCTCGAGTGAGATGCAAGTGAGACATGTTTCCAATGATGAGATACTTATTTCCCTTGCCGTGTCAACTCCACTGGACCGATTACAGGTGGCCCGTGTACGCCACATTGGGTCGATGTTAGTCAATGCACCCAATGCTGTGTGGGCCTTACTGCGACAAGATGTACAGGCAAGACAGGCATATGAGCAAGCTCTAGTTTGGCTCTGGCGCGGAACTGGTCGTGACAGAGAGGCCCCTCCGCCGCACGCATGGGAGGCATGGGAGAAACTTGCTGTGGAACAACCTCTCACATGGAAGCGACTGACAAGAAAGGTTTCAGGCCGATATAAGACCTACCGTGTCATTCAGGCCCGTGTCCGCCAAGCCTATGCGGACATACTTAAAAGCATTGTTCAGGCAGGAGCCGCACTTGGAGGCAGAAGTATGCAGACACAGCATTACTGTTTGATTTGCAGCCAACCATTCTGCAATAAACGAGCATGGTTTCTCCATGCCTACTACAAGCATTCGTATATATCCATGGCTGGACAGGCGGCCGTTGGAACAAGCTGTCCTGTTTGTGCGAAGGAGTATTTTTCGAAAGAGAAACTGAAACATCACCTCCAGTATAGTGCAGTTTGTCGGCACTATGCTTGGAGTGCGGCTGAGAGCACTCCATCGCAGGAAAGGGTGCACGACCAAATGCCATGGATCTATACTGATGTGCCGGTCGTATACCATGAGGACCAAGAACATCGGGACGACCTGCAGCTATGGGAGAACCTACAGGAGGCGGCTCGTTGTTTTGTCCTGTCTGTTGAGGATGAAGGTTTTGCTGAAGACGTCTATCGCAGAGTCAGAGAGGCTTGCAATCTGCCGATGCCCTTTCCTAGTGTTGTCACGGTGCTGGAGCGATGGCTAGCCTTTTTGGGCCCTAACGCAGATCCTCTTCTTCTTAAAGCAGGCCACCGGATTCGACAGGAATTTTCCGATATCTGTCTGCAGAATGTCGCCTTCGATGATTGGAATCTCGATGATGAGAATGAGCGAAAAGCAATCCAATTCGGCGCACTTCGACCTGGTAGACCCGCCAGATCTTTCTGTGAAAAGTACTTTTTGCACCTATACAGTGGCCGCCGACGCCAGGGCGACCTACAGGATGCACTGGAAGCACTTGAACCAGAAGGAGGCGTGACACTATGGGTTTTGTCCATTGACGTCATGATATCCGGCGAATACTGTGATTTGCTGCAAAAGGACACCCAGATGTTGTGGCTGAAAATTGCAAGGGAGGGCCTAGTAGAGGGGCTCCTCGCTGGGCCTCCATGTGAGACCTGGTCGGTCGCAAGGGAAGCAGACGGAATGGCTCCGGAAACTGGTCCTAGGCCACTTCGGACCGCGGCTGAGCCTTGGGGCCTGGTTGACCTGTCGCAGAAAGAGTCTTCCCAGATTGACGTTGGCAATCAGCTCATGATTTTTGCCATCAAGATCAGTTTGGTCCAAGCACTCTATGGGAAATTCTCTCTGTTAGAACATCCTGACGACCCCGAGCTTCATGACAGCTCCAAAGCGGCCTCGCCGACAATATGGAGAACAGCACTCCTGACGTGGCTACGGCAGCTCGACTTGTTCATAGAACTGCGACTGGAACAGGGATACTACTACAATCAAGTGAGCCGGAAGCCGACTCGATTTTTGATCAGCGGAGTTGTACAGAGCAAGGCTCAAGAAATTGAGCGGCACTGCAGGACTTCAAAGAAGCCCGACGCATCTACGATAGGGAAGTCCTCTGGAGGCTCCTTCAGGACTGCCAAGTTGAAGGAGTACACTCCAGAGTTATGCGCGATGATTGCTCAACTCTATGCTCACCGGTCGAGACCCCAATGCGAAGCATTGGATGTGGCTCCCGGTGAGTATAGCTGGATGCAGTCCCTCTCAGTCAGTGAGTATGTGCACGAGACACATGGCCCTGACTATGCACGCGCTGTACAGACATGAATTCAAATTGCGAGGCGGCGCGCTTCAATGCACTAGCTGCGCATGGAAATGGAAATGGAAATGGGTTTGTAGTATCCATGTCAGTGCAATTCCTGGACATTTCGGATTCATTGGACGTAGCTTGTCTATCAACTCTCAGGGTCGGAAGTCCGAAACCAACAGATTGAAGGGAGATCATTTCCAACCAGCCCCAAAGCTGCTTTTCTTTGGTACAACCGCACATATAGTACATAGCTTTCAAAGTCCAAATCTATCTCGATGGTTTATCATCCACCGCATTAACAGCTATCCCAAAACCGATGCTTCCACTAGAGGGTGTGTGTACGTGTGTCGAATCGCCTCTGCCAAACCCAGCACGAAAGACACGCGTTCCCCCGCGCAGATCGAGCGCTTCGCGCGCTCCTGGAGGAGGGCTCCCTCATTGGATTGGCCCTGGAGAGCAGATCTCCAGATCGGACGATTTTTTGGGGCGAAGGAGATATGGGATGATTTGGTACTGCAGGAGACCATGATTCATGGTCACCATGATTGACCTACTTCCTTCCAGGTCAAGATATATGACAGGTCACCATGATATCCATGCCCATTTGGGACTTGGTCCAGTGAATAAACAAAAACATGGCTGGCGGAGAAGAATCGAGTGCTTGACCTACTGAAGACCAACCGTTCCTTGCAATCATACTACCTGTAAGTAAGACAACAAGAGCCTCCACCCTGCCCGGGCATTCGGGCGCATTTGGCAGCGGATTCCATGTGTTGGATGGGTCTGACGGACCTCGGACTGGGGTGCGTCAGTCTTCATAGGGTAGGGAAATGACCTGACATGATCCATTCTTCACAGGTCGTATGGACCTGTACATGTTAAAAGTGTGTTTGTTGGGTGGAGTACTGCCAAGATCTGCCAAGATGCCAGCTCCGGACCTCTCAACTCTTCTGTTTTCAGGCTCCGCGCCCGCCCCGGCCACCACGCCCCGAGCGGTCTCCGCGGTGACCAGGACCGGGGGCCCGGGCCACCACTGCAGGGTGCCGGGAGGCATGTCGCGACTTTGGATCAGCACCTCGGCATCGCACCAAGACGATCGGCCACGGCTCGCATCGAGCATCGCATCGCATGTCGTGAGGTACAGGTATCGCGGTGAGGTAGAAGATGAGGTACCCAGGTGGGTAAGCAGTTGGCCATAGGTCAAAAGCAAAAGTATTCTTCGCTGCGTTTTAAGAGGGAATTGTTCTAGCTTTGGTTTAAAGAAAGTTGCAACCGGTTGACTTGCCTAGATGATGAGGGGCATATGGCCAGGGGGTGCCACCCATGTCCGGCACTCTACAGGTTCAGGAATATCTATGTTCAGGCGCTAATCATGTACTCATTGCAATCCTACTACTAACTATCCATTACATTCTGTTACTGCTTTCATCGGCATCTGATGCTTGTCTACATCACCCATGTCACATGTGGATTCCGGTCGTTTTGGTCACCGTCCGCCTTAGAGCCCGGGCCCATTGCATCACAGACCTCGAGAGGTCGTGGATGGCGCCGGCTTGGCCCGGACCAAGAGCCTGAACACAGCCATACTACTTCTGGGATAGACTCCCATTCCCAAGGGCCCAGTGGATGATGGGGCCTGGTTCCAGGCCCTTCCATCTCTAAAAGTAGTGATTTGCTTGTGAAACCTGATTGTTACAGGTAAGTCCGGACAAGCCCAAGCCATAAGTACATCTATAATTATCTATACTTGGAGTCAAATTGGAAATGGTAGATGGCTGTTTTTGCCCGTGCTTCCGACCAATTCTCCAAGCGCCACTGAGAACTGCCTTGACCATTCACATGATGAACCTAGCTACCTATATAAATCCTTGCATGGCTCTTCCAGGTACCGATCTTGTCCGGATCCGTCGTGAGTTGCAGGTCGGATATACTTGAGTTGGGCCCCTTAGAGCAGGGGTTGGAATGGGTTCTACCATTCATGACCTACAGCATTGAATGACATCCATACAATGAGGTTGCTGGTCCGCCTTTGATCCAGTACCCATGCAGTGTATCGCTGTGTATCGCAAGTAGGATCTGCCCGCTTAGACCTACCCAGCATGAAGGTCAGGCGTAAGGGATATCCCACAGCAATTCCCCAGGGATCTGAGTGGATACCTTCTCAGAAGGTGGTTGGAGACTATTTATGTAAGGCTTGGAGCGCCCAAGTACCTTCTGAGAAGGTATGTAGATCCCCAGGGATTAAAACCACCACATGGAACAATCCTTTCAGGTCTCTCCCCACCGACTCTGGAATCGCCGGAATCGCTCATCAAGTGAGACTAATCAAAGGAAGAACCCTGAATCATCAGCATCAGGTGGCCTATATGTATCAATCTCTGTCGCAGAGTTCTTGGATGGAGAAACATGGCAACATCATGCAACATCTGGACAACCGTCAGTCTCTGTTCTTTTTGTTCCACGCAGTGGATTCCTCCCCCTTCATCCCATGTCCCCTTGGCCGCCATGACATCAGCTCCTTTGGCGGGATCACTGGCCCAACCTCGGCCACCCCAGGGTAGTCAGGGTAGTCTTAGACTAAGTGATTTCCATGAAGAGTATGGAAATAAACCTCAAACATCCCAAACTGTTCTTTGGGGAACCCAGCTAACAGAAGAACCGCATCGATTTGTCCTACATGTTTCTACAGCATATACCACCCTTTTTGGTGGCTTATGTTGTTGTTTCATCTTGTTTTTCGGGGGAGTCCAGTTTGTTGCATGGCGATCATGCAATTTGGATGGGGAAGCATATCCTCGGATTTGATGATCTTGACAATTTGTCAGTCAAAATCTCAATTGAGGCGTTTTCAATGACATAACCAGCAGCTATGATTGACTTGGGGAGTGACTGAACGCACTTCATGCCCTTTTCCTTCTAACTCAAGCATATAAGCAGAATTGGTCAAAGTATGTTTCCCTACAGTAAGTCTGATAGAACGCCTGTCCGCCTGTCTGATAGAAGGCACCAACTGTGTAAATGATTGTAAATGGACATGTCAATGGCACCTCAAGTGCTCCAGCCCTTGAAAAAACGGCACCAGGTCTCCAGTGAACCTTTGTGTGTTGAACAAAAACATATATTTAGCCGACACATTGAGAAAAACGGTTTGCAAGCATTTGAAGACTAAAAGAAGACAACAGGAATGCACAATAAATGTGTGATAGTCTTTAAACAAATCACTGGAACAAAGAAGGAAACGGTTGTTTGAGGAATCAATGGATTGACTTTAATCCACATCGAAACCAACTCGGCTTGGCTCGCAACCCGTGGTGAAGAGCTGGTCCCCTGGCTCTGCCGTGGCTCTGCACTTCAGTTTTAGACTTAAAACTCGATGGATCTCAAGGGTTTGAATGATGTTGAGCGGTCATCTTTTCTCAGCAAAGCCTTTTCCCGGCTCGTGTCTTTTCTCCCCTGAAAACCAAACAAACACTCTATGTAGACCAAAGGTGAGTCTTCCATGACCGAAGCCCCAGAAAACATCTACGCGTCTACGCGCCGCCCCGTGTGTCAACGCTGGCGACAGACTGACCTCTGCGAGCGCTAGCGAGATGTCAGACAGCAATCGATTGGGTATACGGTATATCGCTATACCGTATACCCAGTGATCGTTAGTAAAGGCCTTTCTCTAGAAAAGTGAAAGGAGTGTTTACCAACTGTTACAGGTATAGGGTCAAATCCAAGCAATAGTCAAGAAATCAAAGCAGCATAGCTTGAATCTGAAGACTCCCTGCAAGGAGCCATCAACTGCAAGGAGCATCACCTGCTGGCGATGCATCCAATCCAAACAACCTATTGCCCCTGATGAATCCTGATGATAATATTGCATATCATTTCCTGACTCATTATAATTATAGGGAATGGTTTTCCAAGTGATGCCTGGCAACCACCAACTTCCAGGTGAAACACTTCAGGTCCATCTGTTCAAAGAAGGCCCTGTCTTCCTGTGACCGAGCGATCAAGTGTTGATTTGATGTCGAAGGGGAGTCTCTTGAAGGAAAAATTACCAACATGACCCTACCCTAAGCACCTCTCTCATCCCTCCGTGCTGCGCCATGCGCCTCCCCACCCAAGAGCGGCTTCTTGCCCAGTTCCAGAAGCTTCTCCAAGGGCGCCTCAGCCCGCTTTCCAAGGTCGAAATTCGAAACAGTTCCCATCCCTCCGTCCTCCCCAGAAAGAGCCGGTGGACATCGATGGGGACATTCCACTGCACCTCCCGCAGCGATCGTCGCCGTCAGCCGCTGCACCCGAGCCCCGCGGACCCCTTTTTGTGCGCTCCGTCGCCGGTGCTTCACCGTCCCAGGGCACAAAAGCCGTCATGTCTTCAAAGCGGCAAAGCTCTGCCTGGCGAACGGAAGCGCTTTCGTTTTTTGTGTTTGGAGCGTGGGACCGGGCATACTGAAGATTGGATGAAACTGGAAACCCACACACGCCTTGAAGTGTCTTCAGAGTCAGAGTTGTTTTTCTTTTTTAACGGCAATAAACATGAAACATGTTTGGAACAACAAGAAGAGACATTTAAATTCATAACACATTTGGACACCCTACCCGATCCTACCCTGTAGGATTCTCCACTGGATTCCAAGGTGGTACCCAGCCCTACGTATATTGCAGCACCTGCAGGCAACCCCAAGAACTCATTTTGCTGTTAATCAGCAAGGCTTGAGGCAATGGACCCTGATCCAGTAAAGTGGTCGTGATACTAAGACAGTTTGTGGTTCACAAACCATCAAAAAAATCAAACATCACACAATCACCTTTTTTTGCCTACCTCCATATTGAAGCACCACATACCTCCCCTTGATCTCGTTTCTCCACACACCAAACATCAAAAATTTGGATCCCTGCACTCTCCACCCATTGATCCCCTCCAAACGCCTGCCCTGCACGCGCGAGCCAAAAGCGCCTGGGCGAAGCGGAGCTCGTCGGGCAGCGCCCGCCGGATCTGCTCCTCCAAGGCGTGCCGTTCTGCCTCCACCGCCGTGGGCTCTGACTCTGCTGTCCGGCGGAGGCCGTTGAGGCCGTAGGCCAGGGTGAGGTGCCACGGCCACCTGGAACGCCGGCGCTTGCAACACATGCCGTGGACGAAGATGGCACGTTTAAAATACTCAGAAGGTGGGCACGAAGGGATAGGATGTAAAATGATGAAGAATATAACATGTTGGGATTGTTGGGACAGCGTGCTTGCTAATCCAAAAAATATTGGCTATAGACTGGGGCGCACTTAAAGATGTCAAAATTTCATTCCTGCACTTAAACATAATTGCTGCTGGGACCGCAGCTCGGAAGTACTCAATGATGAATCCAATAAAATCAATAAATAACATAAAAAACCCGAATAGAAAAGGTGGGTTAACCTGCCCATGGGACAAGGGTAAAGCAAAGGAGACCCTCATGCAACCAAACCGGAGATCTGTCATGCAGCCAAACGGTCCTGTAGCCGTAAAGTTCACTTCTGGTTGTTAAATGAACAATCGGTCAGGCAGCCAGGCTTGACGCCCCTCTCTCTCCTACTCTCTCCTTTGATAGTGGACCATCTCCCCCAATTCGAACTTAGAATTGAAAATAATTCACCTTTTCAAAAAGTTGCATACCTGCACTTAAGGAAATCACCTCAGTAGTGACATGGCTTGGTATGCCCTCTCCTTAGTGCAGTCGGTAGCGCTACCGACTGCAGAAAGCCTCCATGTGATTTCCTTAAGTGCAGGTGAAACATTATTCAGGGATGCTTAAATCAATGCAAAACCATGCCCCATTGATTGAGAGCCATGGGCTTACTGAGGTCGGTAGCGCTACCACCCTCCCTAAGGTGGGGGTATGGCATGCCCTCCCCTTACTGCACTGATTTTGAAAATAAATAGTTTCAATCAGGGTGACCAGCAAGAAAAAACCATGTCATCCGCCGAAAGTCCAAACAGGGGTCAGAGACTTGATTTTCCACATGTTCTAGAGAATCATATCCTTGCTTGAATGTGTAGACAAAGATTCAATGGCAGCACTGCTGCTGTAATTTTGTACGGATGGTACTAAAGAGCACATGCTTGTTCCATGCCCTACCGAATCACAACGGGTCCTAAAGACAGAAAGCTGTGACTTCACGGGGTGCCGTATGTTTGGGGTGTTCAAGCCAGATCCCAGCCTTCTCCCCAACTCATAGGGAGATTTAAACATTTCAAAAATAAGGGAAGTGATTTTTTTGACTTTGTTAAGTGCAGGGCAGTAGAGTGCTATGGACTATACTGACTAATACAAAAATTCGGTTCAGTCGATCTGAACTCCTACATAACGCAACAATTCACCTACATCAAAAAATTCAAAAGCCTTTCATGGACTCATCGATCAGGGGATTTGGACCCCCCCAAGTTTGCGGGCGGCGGGGCTTCAGATTTTTGAAGGACCGCATCGTGCATCATCGGAAAACAGCACCTGCAAAAGCCAGCACCAGCACCAGCACGGTAACAGCACCTGCAAAACGAAAGCCCCGGCACCAGCACCTGCACCAGCACGGCAGCAGCACCTGCAAAACGAAAACGCCGATCCAGAGCCAGCACCTGCACCAGCACGGTAGCAGCACCTGCGAAACCTGATCCGAAGCACGCACCTGCACCTGCACCAGCATCAGCACGGCAGCAGCACCCGGAAAACCAAAATGCCGATCCAAAGCCACACCATTGAGAAGTTAGAACCCCTATGGCCTGCAGCTATCTTGGGAAACATCGAAAACAAAAGACACGTTCAAACAGACTCCTGGCAGAGTTCACTCATCACAAAATGCATCAAAATGATACTCAAACACACACACACATTATCAAACAGTATACAAAGACATCGGGATCATTCTAGAGCATTCAAGATGATTCTGATCTCAAACACACAAAAGTCTCTCAATCTCATCTGCAAAAGCATTTCTTGTTTTTGTTTGGTGGATTTGCTTCCAGTTTCATCTGGTTTTGCGTGTGCTTCCCCGTCCTAAATTCCGACCCCGGTGCACTGATCCAAGTGGCTTCTGAGGCTGAGCCTCCAACAAACCTTCCAATCTACGCCCCACAGCCACAGCACTGGGATGCTCGGGCGTCTCGCCACAAGCACGCAAGACCAAACCTGTGCGGTTTGTCATGTTTCGATTTAGGAGCCTCCAAATGCGAGCATGAGATCAGTGCTGAAAAAAACGATCTACAAGTTGGCTTAGACTTCCTAAAGGGTGAAGTTGGATACATCGTCGAATCTTCCACCTCGGGATGTAGTGAGGTAGTGGTGGACATGAAAGGTTCTAAGTTCTCCACATGTCTCCACCGCATCGATGCGAAAGCTTTCATGTCGGGCTTGGGGACTTGATGGTTCTGCAATTTCATGTCAAAGCCTACCCCAAATTGTACCATGTGGATTCTGGACATTTCACCACGGCCACCAAATCATAAGCCGTTGTGGAAACCTTGCATCTGCGACCCTTCCATATAGAAGTGGTTTTGGAAGATGGGACTCGGTCTGGCCAGACTTCAGGACGAACAGCAGCCGGCCGCAATGCAAGAAAGACCTGTGGATTAGGCCAACATGCATGTGTCTATCCAAGGCCCTATAAGTTAGATCCTCATCAAGCGCCTCCCTTGAGTCAAACCTCCGCAGCTCATGTCGTCTCCGCACCGACCATGGACAGTTCCCGCCTACGCAGCCATGGGAGATCTCGAGCCGTTCCACCGCCAGCCGCAGCACGAAGGGCGCCTCGGGGGACTCCTCGCCGCGCTCCCCGGAGATGCCGCGCAGAAGCTTCGCGGCCGCCGCCCAGCGGGGGTGGGCGCAAAAGGAGCACCAGGCCTGGTACTGAGCAGGTTTCATAGGCGGAATGTCCAACATGTCTGTCTCGGCAAGTGGTTTCTATGAATCCAGGTGGGGTCTTGGCGCCGGCAAAGCATTGAACTAGCAATCCGTGCGATTCCACAGATGATGACAGTCGAATACCACCAATGACATCCCTGTAGTATGACCAATATAGTTCAATACGGATTTGTACTGAGTCCAGTACTGACAGTACGGATAGACAGGGCACTGGAAGATGCTGAATCCTTGCCAACACCTTCCTTCAGTTGGACTAGCTTACAATCCAAATTTGACCTTGAAAGGCGGATAAAGAAGAACAGTAGACTAGACTAGAAACATCGGCTTTTCAAAAGTGCTATGCGCAGTGCTGCTAGCCAATGAACCATCGATCCAAAATGATTGTTCATTCCCAAAAACCCTTCTATGCATTGTATGGACGGCCTTGTTGATTCATCACATTTCTGGTGGTCTTTGCTGTGCGACCCCTTGAGCTTGCAGTGGGTACACTTTCAGCAGCTTGGGCCCATGCTTGGTCTGACTTCCGAGCCATGTTTTGGGCCACTTCTGTCCCAGACTTGGAAGTGCATGTGAAACATATCATGAGCGATCACTTCTGGCTCTACATCCGAGTCAATGCCATCAAACTATACTCTCACTCCCTCAGTTTTCCTGGAAAATACACTTTAACCTAACTTTCCACCTGTCTTTTTGAAGGGGAAAACCAATTCCCAAAACATGCTTTGTAACTTAATCCACAATTCTGGGTAGCTGGTGATTGACCAGCAGCCCCTTTTCACTCTTACACAGATCTCGCGATCTCGCCCTGCCTCATCGTCCAAACCCAACTTGTACTGGCAACAAATGTCCAGCAGCGTCACATGATAGCCTCAAAACGTGCAAACAATGGCGTACCAGGAAGGCGGGTCTGATCCAAATTTCATTTGGACCCCCCCCCTTGGAGTTGGGTGGGCCAGGAAGTCTTGCCAGATTGATCATGAGTGAAACCTGTTGGCAAAGATATCCAAAAGTGATTGAAGATATCCACATCCCTCAATGGAATGTCTCTCCTTTGGACCACTTTGGATCCCAACAAAAATATTGAACTCCTGTCCAGGAAACCAGAAAAGCATAAACCCACTTCCATCACCTTCTGCATGCCAGGGGATTTACCCCTACAATGGAAAAGCAACAACACATCAAAGAAAACTCATGAACAAAGCAACGACGGATCCCAAACACCTCTGAATGTCGCTCGTGCTGCTGGTCACGGGCAGCGGCGCCAAATAAGGCCCCAGGAGTGGCGAGGCCTTCAGCAAGTCAGGCAGATGCGACAAGGAGGCACGGGACCTGCAGAGCGGAGGCTTCAGCGACACATCGACGGGAGCTCGCGAAGGTTCCGTGGCTAAGAGAGCCAAGGAGTTTAGTGGAGATTGGCCAGATGGGAGGCCCTTAGGATGTGGATGTATGTCATATATATATATATATTAACATGTTGATTAGTATTAGTATCAGGTGGCATCAAGACGTGGTTAAAGAACAGGACCGTTTCTAACATGGTGGAAATCCACACGTCAAAAGAGTTTGGTCGGCGACACATCTCTAAAGTGGTGGGGCAGTGAGGATGCACCAAAGTGGCAAAACCACCAGTTCGGCTCCCAAAATGGGTCATCTGCAAAGAAAAGCGTACCCAAAAGCCAGGCTAGAAAGCAAACAACAAGGAGAAGGACAAACACATGGTCCTAGGACTTCATCATCACCTCAGCCCAGATCTTTCCAGCCACAGAACTGAACAGATTCGGAAGGAGATCACCCCAAAGACCGGCACGGTGCCAGGCAAGATAGAATCAGAAACGCGGTGAACCCTGACCCGTCGGGGCGCGGTGAACCGCGGTTCCGCGGTTCGGGGAATGCATTCAATGCATAGTAGAAAGTGGCCAACGAACACACAATATAGTATAACATAGTATATAATAGTAATTGTAATTATAGTATAATATATGATACAGTGATTTCAGAGTAGATGGCACAAACCCCTACATGTTTTTAAGGTGGGGTTCCATATAAACCACCTTTTGGGGATTGTGCCATCTACTCTGAACCCACTGTATAGCAATCTATCTAGTTTTGGCTTGTTGCTGCAAATAAGACAGTGAAGCATCAATTATTCTATGTCTGGACCAAGTCAACATGTGCTTTCCACTGGGTCACACGTGCATGGAGCACGACCGTGACGAGATGCACCGCTATGAAGAGATGAGCCGGCAAAACATATGAGTGGCGGACAACACTTCTTGGTGTTCCCAATGCCAACAGTATTTTGGGTTGGGCCCTATTGGCCCTATCGGTTTCCAGTATTTTAGAATGGAGGCAATGAACTACTTTCAGTAAAAACAGCGTATTGGCATAGGGTTGGCCCCTATTGGTTTTACAAGGTTTTGATCAGTACACGTACGGAAGCTTTGCCAAATAATATGTAAAGGGATGTAAGCAAAGGAATGAAGCCAGACTGACAACCCACCATAGTGACAACCAGGGTAACCAAATGACCAAGTCCCGGACTGGACGATTGAACAGCAGCTTTCACACCATGAATAGCACTAACACATCGAATATGAATAGCATGTCCTCACGCAGCCTCGCCTCCCAGCCTCCGGGCGCTTAAAATCAAGCACACCGGCAGGTGCAACGTGTGGAAAAATACGGACCAACAGCGTGGTGGAATCTCAGGTTCGGGATTGAATCCCAAAAACACCGTGCCGGAGTGCTGATTTACAGCACCGATGAGATTCTGCGAGAGATTCTGCGAGCAGTTGACAGATTGCAAGCATGTCATAGCTAAGCTGGTCATGTGGCTGGCTCTGCGTCCATGAACAGGTTGACCGCTGGTTGACCGCTGAACATGAACAGGTTCCGACTCTATAAGGGGAGTTCTTGATGAAACAAGCCATACTCTTGTGAAGCAAGGGACTCGAGTGCCAGATCACAAACGACTGTGATGCCCGGAAAGTGCAAGTAGGCGCCCTTCTCATCGATCTTCCTGGACAGGTTTCTTTCCAGTGACCAAGGCTGGCTCCAGGAACAGCTGGAACAGTTGCAACTGGAGTTTCCACTCCATGGCCAATTGGATGACCATCGGAACCGAATACAAAACAGGTGGTGAACTCACGACCATCTTCCATGATTAGAACTCAGGGAGTGCAAGCTGATGCTTGGAACTGCATACTTCATAGGTCAAAGCCCTGATCAAACCCTAGTGAACATCCCAAATGAAAAGGACAGTCTGTCCTCTCCAAGGAACATTGCAAGGGTTCGCTTTATGTTCCGCAATCCTGATAGCTGAAGAAAAGAATCAATTCATGACAAGTCATGACAAATCGATGGGACAAGAATCAAGGGATCACATGATAAAGCTGGTGCAACCAAATAAGTTTGTGGAAAGGCCTATGATCTAAATACGTTTCTATTCATGTGTTAAAAGCGACTGAGAGGGTTGAACAAAAAGGTTGGGGTTGAAAACAGATGTTGGTGGGTTGAAAAATATCCAGCCCCATTCCTTTTCAAGGTGGACCTGAATGAAGCTGAAAACATCTTTCAGAAAGAACTAGTCAACTAGTCATGAGACAGTCAGGGGACGTCTCATTGTCTCATCTGCCACGGGCCACGGGCCTGTCTCAGATTTGGAAGTGCATGTGAAACACATTATGAGCGATCACTTCTGACTCTACATCCGAGTCAATGCCATCAAACTACAAGCTCTCCCTCAGTTTTCCTAGAAAATAAACGCTTAACGAAACTTGTTAATTATACCATTGTTACATGTTATATTTGAATGGGGAAAACATGGAAACACCCTTCAAAAAGAACTTTTTTGCAGCTTATCCACTTTCTCTGTCTTTCTACATGGTGACAACCTCGGAGACCTCCATCCCGACTCACAACACCTTCACCGGACGACTCGACACCTTCGTTCGGTCAGTGGAAAAGCACTCTCTGCCATGGCGAATGTGCCAGTTTTGCCGAAGTGGTGGCGTGCGTGGAGCCGGACTGCTTCTTTTTTGAGTGCTCTCCGCTTCAGTGCCCAGAATGAGCGGTACATCTGGGCAGCTGATTAAAACTGATTAAACCGAACCTAGCTGGCTAAGTATCATGACGTGCTGACATGTTTTTCTCACTGCTGATCATGATCGTGTTTGTTCAACACAACGTGCCAGTAGACACGGTGGACGTCACGCACTATAAAAATTCATGTCGCAAAACGCTCAAACATCACAAACAGGAATGGTGTTCATGATTAATGACTCCAATAATCGAAATCACAACAACAGTGCCTTCAACCTGGTCAAAGCTTATGATCAAAGCCTCTGTTCCTGTTCAGCCTTTTCCTGTGCTGTGCCATACTGAGCCATCTGATGTTCACATTGCAAGTAAACATTGAAGGTCCGAACTCCTTCCTTACGAATCCCTAGATATCCAAAGCAGTGACGTGCTTACGTTCGTGCCGTCCTCAGGGAGCCCACAGGTCTGACCCGGGAGGGGCGTGGTCTCCGCGCGTTCCGTCCGGACGACACATGGGGGTTCATAGATGTTCATATCAACCGTTCATCTATGTCTGCGGCATCTGCTCTCAAAAAGGTCCATGGTTTTCCATGATCCGTTTTGTGGAACGGTTTTGTCTCCCACAACTCTCCCAGGCTGTCACGGGCTGTCTCGATCCGGAGATCAGCATCTTTGATGACACCCGAGCTAGATAGGAACATCGGCAGTTTGTCGCCCCGGTCTCCAACATCGAGGTACCGGCACCGTGGCACCCCTGAGCTGGTTGGGGTATCATAGAGAGAAGGAGAAAGATCAAAGGCAAATCCCTAGGGAAGCTAGTAAACCATAAGTGTGCATTGTTTTATATAGTCATTTTGGAAAAAACAAAACAAGGCAAGGTTGGGTTTAAGGAATGAACATTCTCAAACAACCACAGCTCTTTCTTGGACAAGTCAACAACTCCCCACGGCTCGCCCACGGCTCCCACGCATACGGCACTGGGCCCGCCCGGCACGCATCACTGATGGCTCCATTTGTGCCTGCCGGCGAGACGCGTCAGACGTGGCAGGTGCGACGCGTTCCGCCCTGCGAAAGGACTGATGTAGAAGTGGAGAAGTGGAGAAGCGATGTAATCAGTTTTTCAAAAAAATAGAAATTGGATGAGATGAGAATTGATACTTGGTTCCTGCCATCTAGCACCATCAAATATATATGATATCAGGCAAAAAAAAAGGACATGTAGAACTCAGTGGGCCAAGTCTGGGGGTACAACACCTTCAAGGAGAAGAAACATGAGAAGAAATACCACCTGTCCCATCCGACTTGGCAAATGTATCGAGTCCTTGAGCTCTGACGGTGCTCTGAAGCGTTTCACCAGTCCCGAAAAAGGTGTCACATGACTCACATGACAATGAAAGGAAAATGCCTAAGGCTTAAGGTGCCTAAGACTCTAAGGATGCCTAAGGCTTAAGGCTCACATGACTCTAAGGATGCCTATAAGGCTTAAGGTGCAGTGTCTTGTTGAGGTGCCGCTTCACGATCGTGTCCTGTTCAATTGATACACTTCCTAAAACCATCTGGAAGCGGAAAGTGGCCCCTTGGATGACAGATTTCCCTCTACAAGGGGGTTGTTTTGCACTTCCATGATTACTGGAGGGACTTGATGGAGGACGTCCTCTGCTGCAAGAGTCCTCAATCATACTGCAAGCATGCGATGTCCATCTCAGCTGGTAAGGGTGTTTCTCTTCCAACTCTATGAAACGGATTGAAACGGTTGACTTCTTCAAAATCTTTGCTCCTCTGGTTGCCTCAAACCAGGCTGAGGCCTGTTTTGTTTTGAATCACGGCAGCCGGTGATTGGAGATCACCCAAACCAAACTAAAGGAAAACAAGTCCCTTCCCCACAGCGATCCACGTGAATCCCTATTCCATCCCTATTCCTTCTCCATGCATTCTTTGCTCCACTTCACTCCTCGAACACCACTTCCTCCCACCAAATGACCCCTTTCCTTCCTGTGACATGATCAAAAACATCTCTTACACCGACTCTTCACCCACGGCTTCGCCACGCATGAGGCTGGCCCCCCACACCTGCACCGCGCCACATCGCGGCGCGGCGGAGTAAGCGGTCCCACCGAACCCGCGCCCGAACGCACAGCTTCACGTCCATGCAGCGTTCCACCACATCCTCAATCCGTTGAGGGGCTTCGGCATCGAAAACCGGCCAACGATCGCGGTCCGGATCACGGCGACCCATGGGAGTCGGAGGATTCCGGTGATTAGAAAAGGACAACACGACGTCGACATCCTATAAACAAGACGTCAACGTCCTCAAAAGAAATAAAATAACGAACAAAACACAAATCCCAAAACCTTGTCTGTAAGATGTAACATGAAAGCATCAAAACACCCATGAAGCAAACACGTAATACATCGTAATACTGTATTGCGCTTTTGGTTGCCTCTCCGTCAGCAGGATGTAGCAAAAAACATGAGGGAGGGAACATAGAGTTCATGCTTTCGACAGAAAAATCATGACCAGCTCATGGAGCGGACTCTGAGGTACACAAAAAATGGATATCTGTGCTGCCACGGGCTGGAAAAAACATAATTTGTATCCACAAGTCTTCAGCATACAGCTGAAATCACCATAGTCCGGGGAGGAAGCCACTTCCCATCGGCGAGATACACCTGAGGTAGGTGCCTTGCTGGAGGAAACAGGGATACCACAGAACCACACCAGAAACTTTGTGGAGTGTCACCAAGAACTAAAGCTCCATGCCGTATATCAAAACATGTCCTTTGAATTGATAAATTTGATACATATTCTATACTTCGGGAGATCGAACATTGCAGGTGATTCAGCTTCTCATACATGACTCATGACGCCCACCAAATCGATCGGTCCATCCGCGGCCTTCACCGTTGTTTTCCCCGCGCGTATGGCGGGGGGTGGACGACCTACGACCGATGGCCATGACCTCCACTGGGCCCCGACGTCGCCGACACGGACCAGGATCGTAAGCTCTTGCTCGTACCTGAGTCCATGAGGTCGAACGTCCCCCGGAAACATCCTAGCAGCTACGTGTATGGCATGCCAAAGCGTAGACCTACATTGACCCCTGAAAGCACCCGAACGCGTATCTTGTTGAAGTCTATATTTTCTCACGATGATCCCGGAACATCTCACCGAACACCACGCCGGTGACCTTCGGCCTTCCCCGAACGCACCGAGTCTCTGAAATGCTGTGCCTTTTTCGGAGCGAGGTTTGTTTATGACGTCCTTTTCTGACTGGTGCGATGCGTAGACTTGGATTTGCTTCAGGAACCAGGAAGAAAGTAAATGACGATTCCTCGGAAGAGGATGAATCCTCTTGGGGAAAAAACAATCACCGGCAAAACCAGGTAAATATATGACTGACTCATGATCATGATCTGATAGTCGAAACCAGAAGCTGCCAAGGCCGACCCTTAAAGCAATCACCGAATTCGGCAGAATGAATCAATATGACGGTTTAGTTAGGATGTATTTGGGTCACGCCTATGATCCACTCACTGGATGAGGCTCAACAACCACCCAACTCCATGTGACTCCTAGGCTATACCTGAACCTTCAATCGTAGCACATCTTTTTTCTGCCGAACCAAGGAAATGAGCACTTTTGGGAGTTTCGTAGCGAAGGAAGCTTCAGGTAGTATTTGTTGTTTTTGTTGTCTGGCTGAATTCGACTCCATCTCCCTTCACATTGACATCACGCTGTGCCGCTGCGCCTTTCGAGGACAGAGCCCGTCACACAAAGGCTGATGCCTTGGCTGATGCCATGGCGGCAGAAACGCTGGGTCTTTCACGGGCGCAAAACCACGGATTGGGAGGAGACGTCGCTGACAAGCATCTGACCAGCACCGGTTTTTTTCGAGAATGTGGAGTCGGTGGAGTCCTGGAGTCATGTTTGGATCTGATCTTGTTTTGGGATTCTCATATCATATATATATGGGTTGTTCGGGTTGATCCGGGTTGCTCGGAAGCATGCTTTGGACTGTGGACTGCTCACACCCAGCTGGTATGTTCTACATGCTGCTGCGGAGTGGATGGCACCATATGTTGGAGCTTCGGATCTTCTACTTCTCTGCAGGGCGGTTTGGTTCCTGAACTGGCCAGTGTGACAGGACTCCACCTGAAATGAGCATCCCGTGTCTGTGCGCATGGACTCCGATCGCTTCGATGGGCGAACTGAGGAAAGCACGCACAACCGTCGTGCCAGCGAAGCACAACCGTCGTGCCGCGAGGATGAGGAAAGCACGGACGGATGAGGATGCTGAAGACTTCACCGATGTTTCTCATGGACGATTCAAAGAACATATAGAATTGACCTGAAATATCCGGACGTTACAGGACGTTTGCTGTCCAACAACCCAAAAAAGAAACAAGACACTATACACAAACCATTCCGTTGCGGTCTCCTTTTATTGCGTGTGAAAGAGAACCTTGCCCCACTTCTTGACATGACAGGCATCTCGGTCGGCGACATTAATCAAGAGTCTACACAATCTCGCTGTGTCGGCTTGGTTTGAGGATGTTTGAGGTACTTGTTACTTGACAGGAACACTGCCAGGACGGCCACACTTTGCAAATCCACCAAATCTCTTCTTTCCAGTACGACTCACATGACGGGCAACACGACTCACATGACGGGCGATTGTAAGGCTGTCTGGTGGAAAGGTCAAAGCCAATGATTGAAAGAAACAAACAACAGATGTTAAGGGACACATACCATGTCACCTAAACCTGGAACCACTTGAGGCTCCCTTTCCGGTCTGTGGCTAGGACACCAAGTCTGCATTTGTTCAACAGTACCTCCAAAACCCAAGCTCATCCAACCCACGACATTACCCGAACCGAACTGACTCTGTGACTTGAGGTGCTGACTCTGTCACCGCTGATTTGACTTGTGGTTCCTATGGGCCTAAGGTAACACTGGGCCAAGTGGTAGTGACATGTGATGTGTGGTGACCATGATGTCTTTTGGACCCAGAAAAGACAGCAAACACTGCCTATAGGTGAAGCAAATCATATAGATACCCGTGGTGTGTCTGTGTGTAGGGTTGGGTGCTTTACTGGGCATTCTATGGCCTCTATAAAATGAGTTGCTAGGGATAGTAGATCCATGCTGGATGAGTCCATTGACTGGACATTCCCCTTTATCTTCTTGGAAACCATCAGGCAAATGTTGCTCCGATCAATATCATCTGATAGATGCATGTCAATGGACCAATACAATCCCATTAAGTCCTCCAATAGAATCCAATACCAAAGCACCTGTGGTTCATGGACACCACGAAGTCAGCTCTTTTCGGGATTATGATTCGCCCCCCCAAAGAAAAGACAGGGGGGATCAGAGCGCGGCCCAAAGTCCTGTTCGCTCGTTTAAACACCTTCTTTGGCTGCATATCTGGAAGATCCTGGAAGGTCTGACTCCCATTTTCACGTCGACCTCCTCCGCACGCGAGGCGAGCCGTCCTCCCGAGCCGAGCGGCTGAGCTCCATGGGTCGTGAGCTTCGCAGCACCCCACGTGCGGGGCCTTGGAAGAGACGAAGCGCCAGTGGGGGGGTGGTGGTGGGCCTCCGATGTTGCCTGAAATCACCTGACATCCTTAGCAAGGCAGACCAAAACACCTAGGTAGACCTGACCTTTGGTGTCTTGATGTGTTTTGGTCTACCTTAGGTTATTCTCCAAGCAAGTTGTTTTGAACAAAGGCCCCCCGCCGATGCCTATACTGAATGGGAGGAGAAGTCAACATCTACCGGGTATTAATTTGGAGCATCCACTCGTTTTGCGAAGCCATGTCTATTCAGCTCCATGTTCAGCTGCTAGGGCAGCTGAAGCCATGCCCTCTCGCTTCGCTGGTTTTTAGCATGCTTCAACTGCATGTCTTAGTTTGATTTAAATTGAGTCAGAAAGTCTGGAGCCACCAGCCCCGTCTTATCACCGTATCAAATACCGACAGCTCATGATCTGGAGAGCCTGCTCTTGGTGGGGGGTCGTTGCTCGGACCCGTACGAGGCGGTAGAAAAATCTCTGTGGGGCCAGGTCCGACTCATCCTCTGACTGGTGGCTGACTTAGTATAGGGATGTATAGGGAACTCAATGAGTGAACGATCCGTTTTCTACAGAGTCCTTTTCGGATCCAGCCACCCTCCTTCACTCGAATTGTTTGTCTAAGCACCAGTGAGTATATTTCTGTTGGGGTCCATTCACCAGATCCATAACTCACTACGCCGCAAACGCTCCACTTGTCGCAGTGTCCACTTGTGGGGTTCGGTGCACTGTGTGGCCCACCGCCATGGGAAAGGGCCGGTGCTGAAGAGATCCTCCATGCGAAATGTCTGAGTCAATGTGGCTTAGCTTTGTGGCTTTGCAGCACCGAATCTCTCTCAGGCAAGCGAACTTTGCGCCCACACAAAGAATTGAGACATCAAGAACGCACAGTGCTTGATGCTGTACCAGCTAAACACAAAGGACCCACAGTCTCCCTTGCTTGAAATGGATTGCCCACGAGCAGTGTTGGAATTCTCAGAGTCCGACAACGGGCAAGTCAGAGATCGGGTCTATGATCAAGGGCTCTCCATGGGCAATCCCTGAGATCCTGGTCTTGGCTTGCAATGAAATCTCTGAGCTTGGCTGGAGTGAAAAACCTTCCTGAAGATTCTAACAATATGATCTGTGTCTGAAACATCGTGCAGCTCTCATTCTCCGTCTACCCCTTTCATCCAGCCCCTAATTCCTCTTAAGTTGTTTGTAACCTTTGGTGCCCCTTTCACAAAGCCAAGTAAGCACACCATAGCACACCATTCGCCCTTCACGCCACGCAGGAAAAGAGGATGCCCCAATCCGTGGAACGCCCAACCCGGGTCAAGTGACGACGTCAAAGAGATGGGAATGAAAGAGAGCTCAGCTCTGACCCCAGCAGAGTTGTTGCGAATGAAGTTGGGCCGAACTTTCAACGGCTCAGAACGGAAAAGTGTCGAACATGTCCTGCTGTTCCCCCCCAGCCGGTTTTGTATGGTACTCACCTGTCAACCCTTGGAGCATCGAAATCTACTCACCCTGGGCGAAAACGAACCTGAGGTAAGTCCAACTGGACATTCTTTTGATCCAATCCACGACGCCACCTCAATGAGTTGCGAACCTCGCAAACCACTTCCAGGGCGCGATGAATCACCGACCAGGCGGGCGGAGTCTTCCGCCCGTCGGTAGTACAGCGCCAGTCGCTAGTGCTCGATGTAGTTCCGATGATGGCTCACACTGATACCCTGTAGTTTGCCAAGCGATATCTGAGATACATGGACAAAGAGATGAAGTTAAGTTCAACAAGGTCAAGCTAAATTCAAACATATAATATGTTGTATGTAAGTATACGACATATGTTGTAAGATATTAAATGCTAAATACGATATACGTTGATTTGTTTTGATATATTTGGGGTCACTAACTATATATATATATATAATTACATACCTGAACAATCCTGGACATCTACATTTACATGGCCATGGCTCCAAAGCAGGCTACAACCCAAACCCGGAAGAACGGCAAAAAACATCCAAGCAATCTAAACTTACGGGTAGCCTGCCGGCTATATCTTTTGGAGCCAGCCAGAATATGTGTTTGCCTCGAGCTGAAACGTGTCAAACCGAAAAAACATGTTCGACCACCCCTTTTCATTCCAAAATGACAAACATGTGGCTCAATTTAACTCTTGGTTTCTCACTGGACTGACTGCTGAGACAACTCCTGTTTGATCTTGTTTGTCTTCTTTTGGAAACCCAATCATTTGGCAGTGGATCAAAACAGGGGGATTCGGGTTGACCACTGACAAGGAACAAAACAAACTACCAGGAAGGGTCCAACCTCCCAAGGATTAGGGCCTAGGGGTCTGGGCACGTCTGCTATCACAGCCATTTGGAACTTTTGCATCTGCCGCCTCTTTTGGGGTCTGATCTTCATCTTGGCGCCGCCTCGGCGGACGCGCCCATCATCCGGCATGTGGCCCATCATCGGCAACGAACAGTTGAGCGCCCGTCGGCTAGGCTTGCTTCAAGGCTTCCTTAGGGTGCTCAGTTGGCCAACAAAATGAGGTCGGAGGGACCTTTAGTCGCTTGGGAACTCCCCCATGGGATGGATCCCCCGCATTGATAGGTCCGCGGTCAACTCCCCATCACCGGTCGCTGCCGGTCGCTGTCGCTGTTAACTGGAATTTCCCTGGTCGACCCGATCACTTTTCGCTTTCCAACCTGTTAGCGTGTGAGATCCTGTTAGATCATGAAACCACATCATAGTCCGAAAGATCAGGTGGTGGTTAGCGTGGTTGTTCGGACGTGGTTTGTGGACAACGGTTGTGGGGATCGGTCCTCATTGATCCAGCGAATTTCGAATGACAGTTATGGGGTATGTGGTTGCATTCAACATGTTGTTGTTTTTCTTCACTCTGCAGTGCGACACATTGGGTCATATATATGACCCAAAACAGTCAGTTGAAAACATCAAGATCCACTTCACTACGGGTGAAAAGCCACCAAACCATCCCGGGAACACTAATGAGGGAGCTTCCTCCTATGGTCGCTCTCGCTTCGAGTTCCAGCTCCAGGGGAAGAACTGGATACACCCGGGAAGAGGCCCACCTGGAACCTGATGGCATGGACCTTTGGAAGCCTATTTTCCTCTACAACCCTGGGGTTTTCAGGTTCCATGTGTACCTCTCTGGCTCTGAATTGTTCCTCTAACCGGCAGCTATAGATCCTTTTGGGTGGATCAACCGTAGTCTGTGAAGAGTTCTGAAGGCAACTGGAAATCGGGATTCTCGGGAAACCACAATTCCCGAGCTTGGTGTCCATACAGGGTCCCAGGGTCAACCAACATGTCAGATTTTCTCATAGTACGTAACAACAGAGTCTTTTCCTGCCACAAAGTCTTCAGCTGCAGCTGGACCAAGAATGGATTGACTCCAACTAGGTGGACCCCCTTGCCATCCAGGAACCCAATCCATACACCTCCACCACCTGTTTGGAATTCGGAACATGGTCATCCGAACTCGGGGCGCCATCCACGTAAACCAAGATGTTTGGAGGGAGGGTGACGCCGGTTTGGAGCATGTCCGAGGATTACTCCAACCCAGAAGAGAGGACAGCGGGCATCCTGTGCCCCATGGATCAAATATAAAGAATACCTCTCCACCCACCTCTCCCAAAAACAGCTGCAATCAATGGAAAGATCGATGTTTTGCTCCGTGCACACCCCCACTTACTAGGTCATCGCCCATACAAATACCAGCACCACAGAGTTCCGGTGGTTTATATGCATCCTTTAGCTATGTAGTTTCCTTCCAATCACCACCCGACCCGAAATCCGTAAATCCGTGGTGCTGGTATACGTATATTACACCACCCAACATGACGACACCAAAGACATATACACAACATTATACGAGAAACCCCAAAAAACCGTGTCTGTTGTTTAGAAGGTATTACATCACCCACCTGCCCAGCCACACTTCTCCCCCCCACGGAGCCCGGCGTGCCGAGGTGCGCAGAGCCCATCCAGGAGCACCGCCGCCTGCCGAAGTTGCTCGTCCTCGCGGCCCTGCACCAGGCGCCGCAGCGCCGCTTGCACCTGAGAGATGAAGCATGAAGTTGGATGGATGGATGGATTGATGGGATGGGATGGTTTTAGGAGGATGGATGGATGGTATTTATATACTATATATGCATGTATAATATATTATAGTTTGTAGACACGCTACTAGACACGCTAAATTCTGTATGATTGATTCAGGGTGGATTGGGATTGGTTTTTTTTTTCCTTTTTACAAGGAGACAAGGTACTCGCTTGGTCGTTCCCAAAACTGAACGGAACGAACCTGTCAAAAACAAAACCAAGAGATGGTAACAGGCCATGAGTGGCCATACCACAACAAAACCAACATGACAAAACCAAACAAAACCACGTGAGATGAGTGAAGGTTGATTACGGTTGATGGTAACAGGCCAGTGACGCATATGGCTTACTGATGGTAACAGGCCAGGTCGCTTCCTCGACAAGTGCATGAAAAACACACGTTCTGGGAAATCATAGAAAAACATGCATCAACGTCAATGACCCGGAGTCTAAGATAGTTGTGGATAAAACAAACGACCCATGACAAAGGAGCTCAATGCATCTTGTTTGCTGCACTTGGAACGCTTGGAAAGCCAGGGAGAGGAAAGCTTCAGAGAAACGCACCCCGAATTGTGTCATTGCTTAACCCAAGGCCAGCCCGAAGACCCGTCCAACTGGGTGGTTGAATCAAACTCTGCAGACTGCTTTGGACACTTGCATCGCAGTGTGGTCAGACTTGCCAATCCAAAACTTAACAATGTGAAGCACAAGGACCATGGAACACATGGGTAGTGGTGGGTACAGGTGGGTAGCGGATCCACCTCCATCGGCCACCTTCACCACCTTGAATGAAATCCAATCCTCACACTTCTGTCTTCATCCTTTTTGTCCTATCCAAATTGTGTTCCAAACATGTCAATGTCCATGTCCATCCCCACGCTCCTCCCTCGTCCGACCGTTGGAAACCAACGCAACCCGCAAACAAAGGCTGCCCGCTCCACCCTCCGCCGGAGCGGGGGCGGGGGCGTTTTCGCTTCGCTGACCGCTCCCAACGGCTGGATCGATCCGAGGGGCTCCCGGACATCCCTGTCCAACGATGTGGCCCTCCAGGACGATCCCATTCGCCTCTCCGAGCACCGCACACCTTGGAGGTGTGCGGAGAGCTGCAAGAGTGTATAGGGAGAGGTGTGTAGGGAGAGCTGCCTGAAGTGCACTGCTGTGATGGGTGAATAGCACCATGCAAATGACGCAAATCATTTTTTTAGAAGCATCAGTTCTTGAGTAGTTAGTTCTGAAACTTGTCTTGGTATTCATGTGGCGATAAAACATTGTAAATGCAGAGGCAGGACAAAAGGTGGCAGCAAGCCTGTGAACACATGACGGACAACCCTCTCCGCTTAGAAACCTACAGAGGATCGCAGTGGAACTCCGGCGGATTGATGTTCACCCTGAAGTAAATTTATTGTATTATAGTTTAGTTCGGGGAGGAAATTAATCCGCCGGAATGCCATTGGGAAACAGAAGTCATGTGAATGAGATTTTCGAGTGAAGTTGTTACCAAACTCTCGTCCTCCTGAAATATATGAAACAAATACCCCAAAAAAACAGATATTCAAAACATCTAAAAACCCAAAGTTCCCTTTTCGCGGTATTTCATCCTGCAAACCGGCAGGATCAGCGCCGTGTCCCTCTTCGCCCGGTCCCAAAGACCGAAGACTGGCGTGAAACCTCTGGCTGCCACTCTTCCTCTTCAACTGTGTCTACTTTTAAAGACCACACTCACTTGGTCCACTTCCTCCAACCGCTTAAATAGAGACCTCCTCCCTTCAAAAACCAGCCGCACTTCCGGCTTCCCCGCTTCCCATTTCACCCGCTCCCTCCGGCCTCGCCTACTTCCAGCGAGCTCGAAGAGGGCCTTGAAGCCACTGATGCAAAGCGTCAGGTGACCTCCGGCCATGAACGCGCCGAAGGCCGGGTGGGGGGGGTCACGTGGGGGTTCTATATTCTTTTCGGTGGAGCTCCAAGGAATTAATAGGAGTCTAAATGATTCTAAAAGGGTTTGGAGAGTCAAGCACCTAAGAGGCGCTAAGCAGCTCTGATTGCTCTTAAAGCAAACTAAGAACATCTACAAGGACTATGAAACATGCACGTGGCAAGACGTTACTAGAATGCCCTGTCCGGCATGCTCTTCCAACCTCTTCTAACCACACAGGTGTGCATTTTAAGAGGGGAATCCTCCCACCAACATGGTTCCTTCTTCCAGGGGGTCGTTCACGCAGGTCGGGTCGAACCGAATTAGACCCCTGTTTTGGAGCCAAAACATTGTCTTTTCATATCAAAACTCAGATGTCAAACGGGTTCTAAGTACACATACTGTATAATATACACCCATGTTGCCAGTCCTGTCCAAGCAGCTTTGTGTAACCTGGCACCTGCCAGCCAGTCTAGCAATGAGGTCTAGGGCCATGAACCGACGAACAAAAAAATATAAAAATGTGTCAGCTTCTTCCTGAAGAAATCTAGTGCCGATCTCGGTACCATGGATCGTTTCTGCAAGATTCTGAGCATAGATCAAGCGCAATTAGTTATCAATCGTGATCGTTTCCGGGCGGGATCTGCCAAATATCGCTCCATGTTGCGCTTCCAGGTGCCAATGACACCTTCCAGCCTCCAGTCAAATTAATTTACCTTTCTATCCCCTTCCATTCTGCATCGAACGACTTCCCCACCTTGCCACTTCGCCCACCCATCTTCCACACCAAACCGCCCAGCGGCCGACCGCGCAGAAACCTGTGCGGCCGCGGCCGCGCCTGGCAGCTCTTCCGACTCCATGAGGAAGTTCATCATCCGCCCCGCGCCACCTTCGGCGGTCACTGGACCCCAGGATGGGAGTCGGGACGATGGGACGCGGCTCTGGAGAGGGTCCGGGGTCCCAAAAGACGAGGTTCAAAACAATGGAAATCATGTAGGAAAGAACAAACATCGTCAGGTTACATTACTTAACAATTAAGGCATCATGCGCCCTTAAAAATTGCCCCAGAAACAAAAAGACTCTTCCCAAAAGATCCGTCGCATCATGCATGGCACTGGCAGCATCCCATGCTCCAAGCGGCTCAGCAGCGCCACACAGGCCAGCGCGTTTTCGAAGAGCTCGCCGCATCTGCCGGTGGAGGAAGCGGTCAAAAGGAAATTAGCGATGTTTACGACGATGTTTCAGCTGCTTGGGGGTCCCTTAGGCATGTTTCAGCTGCCGAGTTTTGTTCCCTCAAAGTGTGTGGCCAACAGCTGCAGGAAGACTCATGCTGGAGACTCATGGCCTCTGTTGAGTGAGGCAACACCAAACATTGCATCAAGTTCATCCAGGTTCCAAACACGGCAGGCTCAGCAGCCTCAGGCCATGCTGTGGATTCTTCTTGGGCCGATTCTGTTAAGGGCCGTCCCAACAAAACATGGTGTGGCCGTCAGGTCTGCCCAGCGCACGGCGACTGTGGCGCCCGGTGCCCGGTGCCGGGGGAGTCCGGCGACCCCCACGGTGCAGTCGTCTCGGTGAAATCGGAAGCGGACCGAAGGACGGACAACGGAGGGACGGTGCAGATGCGGATTCAGAGAATTGGTACTTTCAGGACTTTTAGGCAAACGGCCCCGGGGGCCCGCATTTGTACTTGCCTTGGGTATACCCAATCGACAATGACTTGATCCAGAGGGACCATGACAAAACCCATTCATGTCATACTACTGCCAAAGATTTTCAGAGGTAGTTACTGAGACATGTTCAATATTGTTCAATAGTTTTCGTGGTTGGTTTGCTCCTCATTGCATGCAACATATGTGATTCCCACCATCTGAATACCAACGTTACCTTCACCACATTCCTCCACTCTCTACTTCTCATACATCCCAATTGCCCTCTCTTTATTCTACGTGTGACGCCATGATAAATCCGAGTACCATTATTCAACGAAAAAAACACCAGCAAACAAAAAACACAACTCATGTCGGAGACCCCTCAGGACAGTCTGTATTGTGTTTTTGAGTTACCGCCTTCATAAACTACTAAACTACACTACACACAATATAACAGGTTATCTTTGGGTGAAACAATGAGATTATTGTTTGATCGTGCCCCTCACGAGTGACACGCCACATTCACGCACGCATGCGCACCACAATGTCACGGAGCCACACATGGCACAGCGACATCACCTCTCGATTCTTTAGTTGTTGGTCTGATGAAAAAAGTGTACAAGCTTAGAATATCTTATAAAGGGTCTTGTATAAGGGAAAGGGAGGCCCTTCAATCTTGAGTTTTGTTCATATATTTTTGAATACGAGATAATACGAGTTTAAAGGATTTTAGATTGGGTTTTGAAGCTCTTCCCAGGTTTCCATCTTTGCAGGTCCCCCTATTTTTGGGACGCCTACCGCCAGTCTTTTATGCAGGAGATGGCAGGAGGCATGATATTTAGTAAATTTTAATAAGGTGCAAGGGCTTACATCCTCCGGCTCGCCCGGCTGCGCCGATGCGACGCCTGTAGGCGTCATCGAAGCCGGCGAAGTGCTTCACACTGCTCTCCAGTTGACGGTGAGTGAACTCCTCGTCACAGTGCGTGAAGTGTGTTCTCGTTCTGTGATGATGTGGAATATGTAAATGTAAAGTTAAGCGGTGGTACCGGAAGACGTTTTGTTGTGTCTTCCTCAGTGCAGAAGCGATTTTATATGCCTTGAACTGCATCAGGGATAAATGTCGAACCGCTTCCAGCGGGGTAAACGGGGGTCATCGACAGCTTCCAAGGTTGATTGCTAGATTGTGGTTGATGTTGCTGCTGAGGGATCCTGTTTCTCTCAATTCCAGTGCTTTTGGATAAGTGACTGGGTGGTATGATTGTCGATTGTAGAGAATGCTCCCTTCAAGCCTCACTGAGTCTGACAAAAAGGAGACACTGAGCCAAGCCGCATTCTCCAACTATGGACACACGCTTTTTGAAGATACTTTTCCCTGTTCCTTGACCAAATGATTAGTCTAGTTGGAAGAGGTTGCTATAGGTTGCTGGTGTTCCTATACTGTTCCTGTTCCTCCACAATCGGTGAACTACATCGTGCAGGTATGTGCAGGTATGTCATCCTCCCAAGATAGATCGTCCACATCGTCTGAAAGAAATATGCCTTCACGGGGGCTCCTGATTGGCTTTGAGAATCGATCAGCACAAGACCCAACCCCAAACACTCCATGTATGCCATATATGCCTACGTTGACCCCCAAAACCACCCCTATGTAGGCATACACGGCATACATGGAGTGGAGTGTCTGGGAACTAGACCATGCTAGACCCCAACCCACCACGTAACACGTCGCGTCGGGCTGCGCGCGTGAAAACGCCGACGCGTCGACGGTCCTGTTGGAGGTGCTGCGCCAGTTGCTTTTGCCTACGTAGGCACACCGGCATGTTGCTGATGCTCGCGGTTGTGGTTTGGTGCTGGTTGCAGTGGTTTGGGCCTGAGGTGCAAAGCTTAGTGACTAGTGGATCTAAAGACATCTAAAGACCAAAGAACTCCTAGGCTGTGGTCACTTGGTCAAGGGCTCATCCTTTCATGTCTTCTTTCTCAGGGGTGCACCGGTGCCTCAAGGGATGCACATGTTTGACCTACACATATGCGCCCATGTAGAGAACAATTAGTTGTGTTCTTTCTCTGAGACCTGAATTGCAGTTTAGAAGTTCCCAACCATTTTTTTGGTGTTCGTGCGGTCTCTGACCTGTCTCACAGGGCCAGCTTTGAAGCACTCAGGTATATAGATCTCAGTCGAATAATAATGCCTTGCATTGCGTTGCAGTGGCCACCAGAGTATCCAAACACTCCATGTATGCCATATATGCCTACATTGACCCCCCCGACCACCCCACTGTATACAGGCATATATCGCAGTCCCATTAGTCGTAGTTGTGTCTGGGGTAGATTGTTGCCACGTACAAGCGCTCATTAAGTTACTTCCAGGGGCCCTCAAAACCATGAAAAACCAAGGTTTTCACATACACATGCCATGTGTTTTGCTCGGGAAAATCGGGTTTCTAATGGTTTGTGGGGCCCCTGGTTGTACCTGGACACTGCTGGACACTTACGGTTTTGTGCTGGTGCACTGCAAACACCGACACACTCCCAAGGGATGGAGCGTCGCACACCCACACAGACCCACACCTGAATTGGTGTGTTCTTCTCACGGAAACCCTCAGGTAGACTCTTGATGATTCATTCCCCATGTTCATTGAAAGACCTCTTCATATGTGTTTCTTCTTTAAAGTAATCCAGAGTATACATGAACCATTGATAACCATTGAGATTTGACGAGTGTCCTTTCCTTATTTTCCTTGAGCACTTCTACCCACTGCCCACTGCTTGACTGCTTGACTCAGGCACGCCCAGGAGGCTTGAGCTTCTTGACCATTTCGGGGTTCCAACAAGCTCCGCAGCAGGAAACCTCCGCCGGCTGACTCGTCGTTGTCGTCATTGGGAGATGGGACGACTCGGTCGAAGAAGCAGAAAGGCGTTTTCACCGGTCGACGTGCTCGGTCGGCGTGCCGGTCGCGTGCGTTTCTTTTTCAGAGAAGAGGGTTTGTATGCGAGGCGAGACATTTCTTTGCACCAGTGGGACTCAGTGGGAACATGTTTTATTGACACGCACTATAGCTATACTGGGAGAGGCGCAAGCCTGAGCACATAGAACCAACAGCTGGAAGTGACTGCATCAAAAACATGTCAAAAGAATCCATGCCAGGCATCTTCATTTCTCGGGAAAGGCACAAGAGCTGTGGAGAAAATGAAGGTTCAGGAACTGAATGTAACCAGCAAATATCTGGTCTATCATACCTGCTCAAGGATCATCTGTTCGCAAAGGGTCGCCCCTTGAAGAAGCCGGTGATGGGATTCATGACATACTCTCCGTCAGTCTTCAGGGTTGAAAGCAGTGGTGTCTTGCAACTTTAAATATAACTCCACTACACATGGGAGGCCACACGCACCTCAAACCACCTCAAAGGTCCCTCATGGTCCGGGACAGGACATGGGGCCCCATGCCATGGCATGTCAGTCTCACAACCAACCCCCGATCGACGGATCAGGATCCGATCGAGCGGCTCGATCGGTCGAGCTCCGGACCGCGGATCCGCGGATCCACAGAGAGCTTCGGTCGTAGAGGTTCTGCAGATGTGTGGTACACAAGCTGCAAGCTGCCCCTGACTCTCTCCGCCTTCAGGCTCCACCTTCGTTTCCGATAGGTTCGACGGTGGGTGCCACCGGGGTCTCACGAGCCCTCGGGTTCTACATCAGCTCCACATCCGCTGGGCCCTCCCGGCTGATGTCGCGCACAGCACTGAGATGTTGGTAGTGACCTGATGGTCGCTTCAGAAAGGATGCTTTTTTTCCCAAGGGAGGACGAAATGGAAGTTCTTCAAAGGTCGACATGGTTGGACCATTGAACTACAGTTGTCAGAGGAGGTTCGATGGCGCAACCCCCTAAGATGTCTTGACAAGATGGGGGTCCATATATCAGATATAAATATAATATATAAATCACCTCCCATCAACTCTCAATCCATCTGAATCCACTCTAACTCACCAATCTAATCAACCTTGAACCCGATTGACTACACACCTTGGAGCCCTCAATGAGGGCGCGCTCACCCCTTGGTCCAAAGGAGCCTTGGTCCATGGATGTCCAGTATTGGTCCTTTCCTATCAAAACGGAGGTCAAAAGGGGGTTCTTAGTTCTAAGCATAGATTCTATGTTTGGCACGTGATGGTTTCTCCATCTGTCCAAGCAAAAATATAATAGTGCACTCGTCTTACTATTCAACACGGTCGCTCATATTTCAATACTTGAGAAGTTCACAGGTGTGTTGGAGCTGGTTCTGCACTTGTATCCATCAAAACTGAATGCTCAGGAGAAGTGTTCCAGGCCTTTCGAGTATATATAATTATATATATACTATATATATACTGTATATTTTTTTTCATGAGTGTCTCCCAAGTCACTGAGAGTGCGAATCTGGATGATCTTCAGTGCGAATCTGGGTCGAGGAGGTATGCTCTTGAGTCTCAGCTAAAGCAAAATCAGTTGCTCACCAAGACCGCCTGTTCACCTGATCCCAACCTTGCGCACTTGGCCAAGCCACTGTTGTAGGCATGCAGCACGGTCTTGAGAATGATCTCCAGGCAAGCCTACGTCTTGAGAATGACCCTGAAGAAATTCATGAGGGCTGATGGATGCTGATGGGATCTCTTGTTTTCTCAGGTGGTACCTGTGACTGGAACATTTGACCCCTGAAGAGCTTTGATAAACATCAAGACAGGAAGTCAATCGAAGGGATCTAAGCCAGAACCCCTGGTTGAGAATAGCCTCCCTTATTACCCAATATGGCTCACCCTTCAAGCAGTATGTATGTTCATTCACCAACAGGAGAATATGTTCATTCACATGCGGGTTATTCTTAGATCCTCCATATTGGCTCACCCTTCAAGCAATATATATCAAGATATACATATATATACATATATATAGTAATATATATATATACATATATATGTTGTAAATATATATATATATTATAATATATATATATATGCATGTTGATTGACACACCATACAATCTATCTGCTTGAAACTCCCTGCCATTTCTGCACCATGCCGCTGCGGCCTGGCTGAGCTCGCCCACGTGCGGCACCATGCGCATGAGAAGGACCTTGGTGCAATGTCTGCCATGGATGTCTGTCTGATGCTTGGCAGAGACTGGTTGGATTTATATACATTAATTGTTATATACATATGCTTAGACGACATGTCACATGTGAGTTGCATGATTTTGGCAAGTGCGACCGTAGTTCCATTCATGCCAGTCGCTCGGTGCATTTCCAGCAAGACCCCGCTTTCTCGGCAATTCGCCTGCTGGTCACACAACAGGTCTGTTTGGCATTAAAACCGTAGTTTAATAATAAGTGAAACTTTAAAATGAACACTGCCAAACAACAAAAACTTAGAAAGCCGATAATTCGTCTCTCCAATGCCGTCCTGACGTCCTTCGGTTTCCGGTGTCCTTCGAAGCTAGACCGGCCAATTCCACCGACCAGCTCGCACTGGCTTCGACTGAGGCCGTCCCGACGAGACAATGGCATCCGCGACTCTGGACAATGGCATCCTGGACTGGAAAAAAGCCATGGACTTTGCGGGTGAGGTCAAGTGGTCACTGGCATGTGCATTGGAGATCCCACCGACCAAAAACACTGTCCTGACACTAAGATCAAGCTGGCTGGTCTATTGAGCTTGTTAGTCATGGGTTTGGATTGCACATAAAATTTAGGGGTTTTATCTGGAAAGACTCTTAACCAGCCTTCACTGGGTGTTCATCTTCGCCTACTCCTCTTTGTAAAACATCCAGGATACGTAGCCAATATACGTACTTCCATGTTGCTAACCCCGCATATATGGTGAGATGAACAACAAATCCGCGTGATTCACTCATTTGAATTGCATCCTACCCCTTCAAATCAATTACTGTCATGATAGTATATATATAACATGTGATATGATAATGATGTTATTTCATAGTTAATTCTATTAATCAAACTTTTATATATTTACTATATTAACCTTTACATGCAAAAAGACAGACGCTGCTCAACATGATCTTCATTGACCTTCCCCCAAATCCCATGCTCTTCGCTCTCCTGCGGATGTGCCGTCATCGCCTGGGCGATGAGCTCCAACAAGCCTCCGTGGATCACCGGAGGAATGGCGGGAGATCGGCATCGACTCGTGACTGGGAGGAAGATATACCGAACTTCATCTAAAAAGATTGGAATCCCAATGCTTTTTAAAAGCGAAACGGTGGGTCACTTCCGGTGAAACGGTGAGACGGTCACCCAACGTCTAAACATCATGAATCGACTCATTTACGATGTTTCCTGGATTGGAACGTAGAGTTTCGGAATAGCCCATGAAGAAATTGACATCATGTTGATATCACACCCGTATCTGCGCGTGTTTTGCGCACACCCACATCAGAATTACAAAGGCCCACCCACTGCACCAATTCTTCCAGAGGGGTTTTTGGGTAAAGGCTTCTTGTATCCCCTCCGCCACCCCTAAGGCCCCATGTGTAGGGCCAACACTACTCGTGAAACTCTGGATGCCCAGAGTTAACCTCCAAAGCAAACAAAATGAGTGGCCATCCGATCCTGGAAATGATGCACTCATGGTTTTATGAGTCACTCATGTTCAGGTTTTTTCATCCTGTTTATGAGTGAAAACCCTGAACATGCACTCAAAAAAGCAAGTCAAAGCGCCAACCCTCACCAACCGCCGCCACGTCTGATCTGATGTCTCCCATCATCGGCCGCCTGGCACCTCTTGTCGCGTGGCCATGAGCGTTCGCCCACTGAGGAGCCAATCGCAGTCCTCGGAGTGGCGGTCCGCTGAGGAGCCAATGGGTGTGCGGTTCACATCTTTCGTGGGTCGGGGGACATATACCAAGAACACCCGACCACTCAGAATCAGGGTTACGTGGAGAATGGCTCCGAAAGGAACTCTAGAAATTGGTGGTTTTCCACTTCCATGATGATTCCAGGTGTATAAAACACCCTGTATAATGCCTGAACCGAGTGCTGTGCATCCAGCCAGTTTTGAGTCTTGACTGGTCATTTCAGTTGGGTGTCGAGCGCTTCACAGAAGCAAGGCAACTCCGACTGCAACACACCTGACACATCTTGAAAGTAGCCTAGAGTTGGCAACCCCAACAAATGAGAGCTGCCCAACGTTCAAGGAAAGAACACACCTCTGGACCGGAAGAGAGGAGACTTCGAAAGCAAAGTCGCTGTACAAACTGGCCATGGGCAAGCCAGGGTGAAAATACCAAAGGACTAGTGCTGCAGTCTCACAAAAGGTAGGGCATGTTCTTTTTCACTGGGGCCAACCTCCCGTGTGAAAGGGCACCATGGGTCATGCGATCACCCCTAGCGCACGGCCAGGGGGTCTGCATCACTGCAGTCATGGATCAGCATCACTGCAGTCATGGCTTCGACTACGTATGCAAAGTATGGCAAAGTCATGTCTTTTGCGTGCCCAGAATCTAAGTCATCATCTAGGATATCGATGATGGCACACATGCAGGCATCGACCACCTCCGGCCTCTCCAAATGCTTTTGAAGCTCCTGCAGCGAGGGCTGAGGGCTGCAGCGAGGTGTTCAACCTGACCTGATGGCCAATCAATTGGCTCTGAAAGGGATAGTCGATGGATGAATGGCTCATTCTATGGATAGACCTCGCGGTTTTTGGTGGTTTCATGTAGGTGAAACTAATGATGTGAGAAACTTGGGTGGTTCAGTCAGGTAGATCGTTTCAAGAAGCAGGCATTCTTTCCACCTGCACATGATCTACGAGTTGCCCAAGTGTTGTTCCGTGCACCGAGGTTCCTTGACCTTGGGGGGAGCGCACTCCGCATGAGAAACTCTTCTTTAGATTCAGTCTGGTGACCCCTTGTACTTGCTACCAATCCGCTGGCCTCAAGAAAGAGGTCAATCTGGCAGCTGCTACTATTCCTCTAATATCCTCACTTCCAGAGCCATACCTCCACACCCCTTTTGGCCTGTTCTTCTCCCCCCGGCCACGACACCGCGAGGCCACTGCTCAACCGCTCCTGGACCACGAAGGGCATCCCTGCCAGCGCGGCCAAGAGCCAAACGCAGTACTTCTCCAAGCGCCGGTCCCCGACGAGCTCCAGGATTCGCTGCTGGCGGATGCTGCCGGTGGACGATGGGCGGGGTGACCGGAGTGGGAGGGGTGCACGAACATCTGTTGGGTTGGAGGATTTGCCACAGGAAGATCAGGAAATGAGCAACTGATTCTGCTCCAGCAACAGCATTGCTCCAAGTCTGGAGGCTTCTGCTCAATGCAATTTCCAGTTCTAGTTTCCAGTTCATTGCGTGTCCAGGAACCCGGCAGGGTCGTTTCTTCAAATCTCGCCCCAGGAAGAAATCATTTTTGGGGAGCGTCCAAAATCACCCAATCTGCCAAAGCAGGGATGGGCTGGATGCGGTTGGTTGGGATGCTGTCATTAAGGCATTGAGGCGCGGAAGCAGGGAAATTGAGGGAAGTGTCGACTCAGACTGCTTGCCCCTCGGGGTTCACCTGGAAGACCTTGAAATGGGAACGCGCAGTTCACATCTCAATGAGGTTCACATCTCCGTCGGTTTGCGTCTTGAGAACTTCGCTTCTGCTTTGATAACTCTCTGAGAAGACTGAGAGCAGTAACACACCACCGAAACTCGAAACTCGCCGGTGCCAACATACCCTACGAGTCCAGTCTGGCCAAGTTCGGTCCGACTGACCTCGGACTGGTTTTCGATGACCGGACTCAGTCAAATGAGGTCCGACGACATAGACCACCGGACGCCGCCGGACGCCCATGTGTTCGACACGTTGCAGGTCGTCCCGTCGCCCGTCCCGTTCCGTTGCTTTGGTCTCCGCCCGTCGCGGGGCACGCGGGCCTGCGTGGCTTCTTTGGCACCGTGTTTCAGCAACGCGTCTCTCCAGGCATCTTTGGCCAGGGTCACCTTTCCTGCGGCCAGAGTGGTATCATCAAATGAATAAGTGACAACATGAGGAAAAGTATGGGGAAAGACATGGCAGTCGTGGGTCTTCGACTGCATCCCCGTTTTCTCGTTTTGGAGGCTTGCAAAGGGTCGCAGGCGATGCGCAGACTTGTGACAAACCTTGAGATGCGCAGAGAGCTGGAGCTGCAAAAGAGCAAAAGAGCTTGTTGAACTGGTCCTCGCCGCCCTCCGAAGAATGTCACACATTGGTAAAAGTGTAAAAATACAATAAAATACAACGTAAATCCAGTGGTGTGGTGGTCTCTGATTTTGACCCTACCTGGCTCAGCGGCTCAGTCTCGCTTAGCCAGGCTGAGTTTCTGTCCATCCCAGTTTGAGTTGAATCCATGGTCCATTGGTAAAGTCATGTGTCAAAATAAAATCCAAAGAGTCATAGAGATATGGCTGTGAGTCCGAAACCTGTAAGTAGGATCCCCCAGATTGGACTTACAACCATGGCATCTGCCACATCAACCCAGCTAACTCTACCAACATCCACCGGAGCAATGCTCCAAAAGTCCATCGTGAAAAGCTTGGAGCGCGGAGCTCGAGCTACGCGGAGGTCGGTCAGGTCGGTTCTACGATGCGGGTCCTAGGGGATCGAAGATCAGCTCCAACTGTTCTCTCCAGGAGTAGCCATGCTGGTCCTGCTTCGCGATAGACATAGCTGAAGCTGATAGATCGCTGTATATATGGAGAGAGGTGAGGCGATTGGAGGTGGTCTCAGTTTGGAGCAGATGCTGACATCAAAGGTGCCTAGGTTTTGAAGCCTGGGGAGTTCCAAAGGGCATAAGTGAGTGTCCAAAAGAATGGTCGATCTTTGGTGAATCTTCTTCCAATGAGAGAAGACATGAGAAGACAGAACGTGTTCCTGCCCTAGAATAGTTGCAAAACGTTGCAATCAGCTTCACCCTAGCGTCACCCTTCACGTTGCATGAGACACACATTAAAGCATCCTGCTGTTCCAGACCAAACCGCTGCTGCTTGAAGACCGCCCCATGATGTGCATTGTTATGCTCTGGACACAGGACGAACAGAACCAAAGAGCCTCTAGGATCAACTAGGGATCAACTAGAACAAGGAGGTTGGTGCCAACTTGGTGCCGCAAGAAGATTTCAGTGATCCCAGATTTCTTCATTAACACCATCCTATAGACACGAGATCCTGTCGATGTCCTTGAGATGATTTGTGCGAGATACTGTACCACATTGTCACATCCCTGGGAATGTTGAAACATCTCTACCTGTCGGCCGTTTCTCCAGTTGGCACAATGCCCAAGTTTGGTGCTTTATATGGATCCCCCAAAGGGATGCTTCATGGACACCCCGAATCACCTCTAAGGGGCTATTCATAGACTTATTAGACACCCCGTTTTGGGGCCTAATAGGGGGCCCAGGTCTATAATATATGGAGCCCCCAAACCTGTTACAGGACGTAACATCTGAGCCATCGAACCTCTGAAACCACCGGGGATCTTCATCGTTCTCGTCTCTTCATCGTCTCCTCCTCGGGGATCTTCATCGGCTCGTGCAGCCGCGAAGCCTTGGAGCGATTCGGCTCGGCTCGGAGCAATTCGGCTTGCCGGCTGGCGGCCTGGAGGGATCTTCCTACGTGCAAAAGAGACCCTACAGTCATCCCCCTTAGGATTCAAGGTGAACCTGGATGGACCATTCTCTGAACAAACAAGGCGTTCACTCTGGAAAATGGCTTCCTTCGTCTACAGTCCTACAGGTCAGTTTGACCGAAAATTCGGACCTGGACCTGGTCACAAAACCGATCTGGGTCAGACTGATCTGATGAGGGAAAGATTCATCTGAGGGAACAAAGAGATGAAAACTGTACAGATCGGGTTTTGTTCCGTGGATTCTTAATGAATCTCTACGGCCTTTTTCCCATTGTTCCTGAAGAGCAAGGAGTAACCTTGCAGGATGAAGTAGCCTGATCTACCCCAGGCTCCAGCAACTTCTGCACTTGGTCGAACGACCATTCGCCAGTTCGCGAAGGATGGGGGAGCGAGTTGGACATACGCGGTCTTTCACAGAACCGTATTATAGGATACCAACCAGCACCATCAAAAGGGTCACCTGGCTGGAAGCCCCAGCCCACTACTAAGGGACCTAAAGCCAGGACACCCCTTTTGTAGAGGTTGCCTGCCTTACGACTAGATCTTGGGGATCTAGTCGTACTACTGAGCTTCTGCCATCCACACTTGAGATATTTCAAGAAAAACACATCCTCATGGCATATTGTAGCCTCTTTATTGTATTTCAACCGCCCATACATAGCATAGGTTCTACAATCTTGCACATCCATGTCTGAGGGTGGATTATATGGTTTTATCGTCTACACTGGAAAACCATGGTTACGTGGATGGCCTGGCCCTGAAGGGATGAGAATCTGGCGCGAATACCTCAAAGTGCAGTTCACCTCCACTCCACTCCAAGGAGTGAACGAATCACCATCCGACTCTCCGGTGGCACCCGACTCTCCGACTCGTGTGAAACCACGCTGTTCGTCTGGGGCGCAATGAGCCGCACCGCCTCGTCCAGCTCGGCGCAGGCGCCCGGCGCCAGGTGAGGCGAAAGGGAGCTACAGCAAGAGCCCAGGGCGTCCAAGAGCGCTAGGTGGATGCAGGAAGTGAAGGGCGTCTTCCTTGGACGTTCAGTTTGGTGGTGTGAGATACGACTCGGGACCCATAGGGACTTTAGAAACTGGGAAAGCCAGAGGGCAAAACCACCCCGGGGGGAATCAGTTTTGGTGAAGAGTTTGACCAGCACCATTGGTCGTGTACGTGGGCAGGCCGCCCGGTCCCTCAGCTCCGGTCGAAGGGTTCCGGGATCCGGACCGGGTGGAATTGGGCGATCAAGTCACCCCACTCGATGGAGGATGGATTCGTTCATCAGATTGGATTTTTCACCCGGTGGCATAAAAGGAACAAACAAACCGAACTGGGGGATCATAGAACCGAACCAGCTAAGACGGACTACATGAAAAGAGCTCGCTGAGACCTGGACTTCTTTCAGGTTAAATCTTGAGACCCAGACCTCGAGTTGGACTGTTGTCTGAAGCCAGATTGACCCATCAGCGGAAGGGGTGCTTTGGTTTCAATTTGCTGAGCCTGTATTCGTGCCTTCCGTTTTTCAGAAGTTCGAAGAGCAGTTCAAGCTTCTTAGCCTAACCATCCCCCAACACCCCCGACAGTTTGTTGTCTTTATTTAGTATTCGATGTTGAGTGGTGATAATTAGTTGGTGCGAGTGCGAGTCCAGTTTCTCCCTCCCGTGCATATCACATCCTGACATAAATCTTTTAAAAACCGCTTTCTCTCTCCGAGGATCTTTTGCAGCTTTAGAAGCTCTCCCACCATCTGCGGCAACAGCCGAATGGCTTCCACATCCTCCCAGCGGTGGTTCTGGACCGTACACCGTGGGGTCTCTGCGAAACCGTTCCTGCTGGGGAGAATGACACTTGCGCCGTAGCTGCTTCCGGGGTGGTGCACCATGGCAGGAGGAGAGTTGGAGTTGGACACCAGTAGAGGTGATTTTTTCGGTGAATTCCTGAAAAACAAAAAGCCACCGCCTGGAAGGACCCCACCATGTGGGTGCGAAGGACCGCTGAGAAAACGTGTCCGGATCTGCAAATGGTGGAACGTGGATGGACAGAGTTGCCCTGTTTCACAGGTGGTGAAGTTGATGAAACGATAACGATTTCACGGAGTTTTGCATTCAATTCAATCCAATGCTACAAGCTGTTACAAGATGTTACAAGCTCTACCTATTCATTGAATGGCATGCTCCGGATGGTCTAAATTTGACACCTAGAGACATGAACAATGCCCCTCTGCTGGTGAAAGGCATACCCTCCAAACTGGCCACCTGGATGAACCCCGTGAGCCCTTTTCAAACAACCTCTCCAAATCAAAAGCGCTATAGGATATAAATATAAGCATTACCCTCTGAGGAATAGCCTACTTCGCCACAAACTGCAACCTGCAAATCCACAAACAGTCTCCAGTTCCGAAACCAGTCTGATCTTTCTTTGTTGTGGTGCTAACAATACCTTCTTGTTCCCGCAAAAGATGGCTGTCAGCAGTCCTCCGTGTTGCAAAGCTCTCGCAAGGCCCGCAACCTGTAGCATGCCGCGTGGTGCTTACGGGTGCTGCTAAAGCCCCCGGGAGGCCTACAACAAACTGCCCCGCTAAAAGAGAAAGACAGCAAGTAGTCTGATAGTCAAACACGTGGACGCCAAATGACAGTGGGTCAAAGCCTCCCACATATGTACAATCATGGAAGGCTGACATGCAGCCCAGTCTTCTGTTCATTGGCTGTAGTCAACCAAGGTCCCCTGGCTTTGACTCACAAGCAAATGGCAAACCCGTTCTCAGTCAGTTCCCCATGAAGAAGAGATTGATGTACGGTTTATGAAAGGAATGAAATCGAACCTAGAACTTGAACCTTCAAAACGGGAACAATCATGAGGGCGCCAACCACATCCTCAGGAGGTAGGTTGACCCACCAACCCCAACCACCTTCGAAAGGTTTCTTCTTTCAGCCAACCTCTTTGCCGGGCACACCCCGTACTGCGGCCCAGCAGCACACCCTGTACTGCGAACTCGCCCAGGCCAGAGAAGAGCTGGATGGCCTGATGGCAGTCCAGAAGCAACCTCAACTGTACTAGACAAGACAATGGTTTTGAGATGTTTTGAGGCTTATTCTTGTTTGAGACATATTCCTGTGTGCAAGAGAAGAACCTGTCTCTTCAAAGGTGGCCCAAAAATGTATACTTATGCTTCTTGAGAAGGCCTTCTGTACAGTATCCTCACCAGCTAGGGATTGTTTGGATATTATATAATTTTTGAACTATACTAGTAGTTCGACATTTATATATAGAGTAAATTGAAAATTGCCCTCGAAGTCCAGTCATGACTCATTTTAGCCCCTGACAAGTGGTGGATCATTAAAACTACCAGGTGGGGCAAGAAGAGACCTTGGAAGCTGTGGCATACTCCGTCAAAATTCCTTTTCCATCACCGCCCACAGGAAACTCCGGCGCAACGAAAAAACACATCTTAAAATCCATCAAGTCCGGCATCCGTGAAACACTCGGCGAACATGTTTTCACATGTTTTCACCACAGTTTTCCAACACCCGGACCCAACAAAACGTCGCATCCGTCGCATCAAACACGCGGATGAAGTCCGCTCCTCTGGAAGGCCCAAGATGAAACCCAGGGTCTGGCCGACCGACACTTCCAGCTCTTGACCTGAACGCCACAGGAAGCGCTGAAGCGTGGTGCCCGGCGCGGGTGGTGCCCGCAAGCAACAAGGCCCAGCATGTTTTGAGCTGGAGTCAGCTGGAGTTCGGGGGCACAAACAGGACTGGTAGACTGGTGGACTGAACCTGGGAGAGCTGGGCTTTTCGGAACAGCCAAAGAAGAGAAGAGTCCATGAGAGTCCCAGTAGAGTCGCTCATCCCAAAGAATCCAGGCAGTGCGCGTGCCCAGTTCTGGGAAGTCCACCTTGTCAGTTCCCACCATTCCGTGGCGGTGTTGATTTCAGAGGTGAGAATCCGAGTCCATCAAGCAGTTTATCCGAGTCCGGCATCAAAGCGGATCTTCAGTGAGAAAACAGATTGAAGCCCAAGCGTCTCTGGGTCATGTGAGTCATGTTATGTCCTGCTCATGCTCATGGAAGCAAAACCTTGTTCTTTTCTTTTTCTGTCCCTCGGGATGCAGTCATACCTTCTCAGAAGGTACGACTGGACCCTCCTGGCACCGGCAAACAACAGTGTCTCCAATCACCTTCTGAGAAGGTACGACTGGATCCCTAGGGCCCTAGGGTGTGTGTGTGTGTGTGTGTGCTGCTGTTGCTTTCAGCTCTTCCAAACATCTTCTTCCCACATATTATTCTGCCACTTCTTCTGCCACATATTCACAACTCCAAGATACTCCAAGGGTCGGAGGGCTTCGTGAGGGTTCTCGCTCGTTTGCGGACTTTCAACATACAAGTGTCCATCTCAAGGTATCTTACATAAAATGTGGCTGTCTCAAATGAAGGGGCCTGAAGGGGTGAATCATGCTGGCCCTGCAGCCGTTTTGTGTGTGGGTCAAGTTGTTCACCTGTGGCCATGGTGCGTGGGCCAGTGATGACACTACGGGAGATGCAGGATTACCTGATTGGGCTTCATCCTGACATTGTTGATCCTGATTGAATCATGGCAGAATGTTTGGATCAATTATAGTATTCTCCAAAAATACAGATTTGTTTTCAAATAGGAGTGGAGTTTGGGCCAGAGCCATTCTAATTTCATAGTTATGCAATGACAAAGGCATAGTTTTAAGTATTGTTGCCTGCAATCATTTTGTTGAGCTCAGACTGCTGAGGGCGGTAAACCATTGCAAACACTGACATATGTACTAGTTGCCTTTGACTTGACTTGAGGCCGAAGGGACCGCCACAACTGGCTACATCCAGGTTTGCTCCTGAACTACGTTGAAGTGTTTGGAGGGGTCGGTGTGATCTCAGCTGGCCATGGAGGCTTTTGTTTTGATGTACGAAGGGATAGGCAACACAATATCCATTCTGTGGATGGTATGAAACTGTTGCTGGAGAATTTGTTTTTCCTGAAGCCGCATCAGTTGTGCACCATCGAACCCACATGCAGCAGTTGGTTGCGTTTTGTCTCAGCTGGGACATCGCGCAGATCTGAGGAGCTGTGTAGTGTAATTGTTCATGTGTTGGCAAAGCAGCTTTCTGTTCAATGTTTTTGGGCAAAGAGGTTTCAGTTCATGCAAACTGTACGACAAAAGGAAAACTACTCTGCTTAGTTGGACTCAGAGGTTAGTTGCTGTGGTAGGTTTGTAAGGAGGGACGGGGGCAGGAAAACATTGAGGGCGACACTTCCGTGAAGTTTGTATATCGAGGAAACGCATCAGCAGAAGCAGTCGGTGTGCTGATTGATCTTCTGGATTGGCTCTATATTCAATGGTTTATTGAGAACCCAGTGCCTTCGATGTGATATATTTACTGTGTGTTTTGGATGAACTGTGCTGAACCGGTGTTTGTCTAGTGGCTTTTTGGATCTTAACGATGGTGATTCATTCATTCATAAAAAGTATCACTGGATCTGAGCTTCAATTCAAGTCTCTGGACTGCTGAGTTGAACAGCCTCATCTACCTGTACCCACCTATTCGTGATCGAGTGCAAGGAAAGACACGAGTGGTGGTGTACTTGAGGACCTTCGGTGGCCTCCACGCGAAGCCGCTAGAGTTGAGAGGATGCGATTCTTTGAACTACCTCCTTGCAATCCACAGAGGGGCTTGGCATGGTACAAGGGACCGGTACACTATCCCCACTATGAAAAAGGGTGCCAGGCCTGGATGAGAATCCAACATGTTTTGTGTTCCATTTCCTGAGTCATTACCTTCTTTGAAAGCAACTTGTGTTTGTTAAAGTGGGTCCATCACTATCATCACTGGGTTACAGCAGTAATGGTCAATTTTTCCCCACCTGCCAGGTGAGGGTTGTTAGATTTGATCACAGCTGTTCTTCCTCCGCCTCCGCCTCCGCCTCCGCCGCCTCCTCGTCCTCCTCCTTCCTCCTTGCTTCCTTCCTCGCCAATCTGCTTCGCCGATCTTGTCTGGCCAGCTCCGGATCGCAGTGTGCACCCCTGGACCTCAACCGCAAGGATCCCCTCGCAGTGTGCACCCCTGGACCTCAACCGCAAGGATCCGATCGCAGTGTGCATCCCTGGACCTCAACCGCAAGGATCCGATCGCAGTGTGCACGCCTGGACCTCAACCGCAAGGATCCGATCGTAGTGTGCACCGCTGGACCTCAACCGCAAGGATCCGATCGCAGTGTGCACCGCTGGACCTCAACCGCAAGGATCCGATCGCAGTGTGCACCGCTGGACCTCAACCAGATAGTTTGCCAGATAAAATCCACAAACACACAATCACAAACACACGGCCACAAACGCGCAACCACAAACACAAAACCACAAACACAATCACAAACCCACAATCACAAACACAATCACAAACACACAACCACAAACACAACTACAAAGACACAATCACAAACACATAACCACAAACACAAACACACAACCACAACCACACAACCACAAACACACAATCACAAACACAATCACAAACACAATCACAAATACAATCACAAACACAAAACTACAAACACAATCACAAACACACAACTACAAACACAACTACAAAGACACAATCACAAACACACAACCACAAACATACACACAACACACAAACACACACAAACACACAACCACAAACACACAACCACAAACACACAAACACAAACACACAAACACACAACCACAAACACAACCACAAACACAACCACAAACACACAACCACAACCACAAGTACAAACACACAATCACAAAGACACAACCACAACCACAACTACAAACATATAATCACAAAGACACAACCACAACCACAACTACAATAACATAATCACAACCACTACCACTACCACAAACACAACCACAAACACATCCACAAACACACAACCGCAAACACAACTACAAACACACAATCACAAAGACACAACCACAACCACAACCACAACTACAAACACACAATCACAAAGACACAACTGCAACCACAACCACAACTAGAAACACACAATCACAACCACTACCACAACCACAAACACACAACCACAAACACACAACCACAAACACACAACCACAAACACAACCACAAACACACAACCACAAACACAACCACAACCACAACACAGCACACAACCACAGCACACAACCCGAGGACCCACAAGCAACATCGAGAACTACAATACTAACGACTATGGCAACATGCTCCTCACTATGGCATCAAGACAAATGATTGAAATGTCATGGTGGGGATCACTCGAAGTAAAGTAAGTTTCCTACAATGTCTATTATAAGATGGTATGACAATGGGAACCTGCGCCTGCATGCAGGTGGGTGAATGGAGACAAAAAACGCATGGCTGAGTCCTCGTGTTACCCAGAACCTCTTGGAGAATGTGTGCGATTTGCGCATCAGTGTTGGCTGGAACCTTGCCTTGTAACAAGTTTCATTTGGCAAGGGATGATCGATTTAGTATATTAAATAGTTGACGACAATGTCTGGCTGGACCTTTTGGTGTTTTGTTCTAAGTCTTTACAAATGAGGACCATGATCGGCAACCCATGCCACCAGCTGCAGCATTGGTACAACTTCAGCAGTTTGCACATGAGATGGTCCGTCGTTTGCCTCCTTCTGGTGAGAGTGCTCTTCCGGTGGGGGAGTGTGGAATGTTCAGTGTTGTGGAAGTGTTGCATCGTTTTGAGCTCACACAAATGTAGGAAAAGTAGACAGCAATGGCCGTCTCAATTGCAATTGTACTTGTTTGATTTGGAAGTGGACTGCAGGCCAACCATGGTACTCTTGCTCCATATGATGCTGACCCTGGCTGGTCGAGTGATGATGACAATGATCAGCCTCCTCACCAACCTCCTGTACTTGTTGAGGATCGCAAGGCGAAGGTTGGTGGCCCTGAGGGTTTCCAAAGATGCAATATATATATATATAAATATTGTGGGGTGGATCTGTAGGTTGATAATATTAATATTACTATAGAGGTAATAGCACTGATCAGTGTTGACTCAACTGTCATGAGATGTTTCTTTTTGATTCTGCCGTAGACAAGTTGTCAGTCCTGAAATTTAGTTTCAGGAATTAAGGAATCTAGATGAGGTAGGTTCTTGAGGCGAGTGAATACCTGGACCTGTTCTGTTCACTGCTGGGAGTTCACTGGGCATTGGATCAAATTCATTTCGCATTTTGGAATCAGGTTGCCAAGAGGTCTTCTTCAAGTACCACTGGCTCTTGCACTTCGACTTTGCACGACTTCTTTGCCTCGAGCCAGGTGCGGTGTTATATGGGGTCTTTTAATTAAGCAATATTTGCTTAAAGGCCCACCGTAGATACTGTAGTCTGAATTGCAAAACATTCATGAAGTGCAGAGTGGTTGAATTGCTTTGCCATGGACGGTTGATTATCAGGGTGTTGATAATTAAATTCAAGTGACCATGCTTGACCTGTGATCTTCACATGGGAAGTTGCAGAACCATTAATGTTAATGTTGTGTCATTTGATGCCTGACAGCTCTGCCAGGACCCATCGGCTTCATCGTCTACATCGAGAAGAAGTTCATCGTCGAGTTCAAGCTTTCATTTGCCAGAGGTAGCTCGCCTCAA